ACATATAATATATATGTGTATCCTACAAACCATGCACAAAATAGAAGATTTAAGGGCTAGAGATATTTTAAAAGCATCATTTTAATAATTAAAGTTGCATTATCGTATGCTACGTACCCGTAATCCCAGTCATCAAAAGATAGAGGCAGGAGGATTAGGAGTTCAAGGCCACACAACCACCACCATCACCATCACCACCATCACCATCACCACCACCACCACCACCACCAAAGTGGTTGAAGGTTATCATAGCTACGGCCCAGGTGGTTGGCTCTCTTGGGGTAGCTATGATAGTCAATAAACTATTCTTCAAGAAAATCAATTTTTGTTTTTGTTGAAAAGATTTTTCTGTTAGTGGTTAATGTCAAAGTCAATCTTGGGTCTATGTGTAGCACCCATACTCTCCAGATGTAGAGGCGGGAGACACAAATCCTGGGTGTGCATACTCCTTATTGCTCTAGTAGCAGCAGGGCCATTTGTAATGACTGGAAGCCACACTGAAAGATTTTTCTAGAGTCATGTGTCCACATCTGAATGCCAAGTAGGAAGGAGCAAATGCGGTTTCTGAGGGAGACTCAGCAAAGTGACATTTTTTTTCTTGGTGAGTTCCTATCAGTACAAGGCTTTGCTCTTGCAAATATAGAAGCACAAGCCAGAAATTTTGTTATTGAGCGCGTGCTCTCTGCTAGGCGCACAGCTTCCTCAAACACTACACACGGACTGCTTTACGTTCTCAACAGGAAGATAAAGGTAGCAAATAGAAAGCATAAGCCATACCATCTAAATGTTTGTTTTTACGTGTATATTTGTGAGTATATGTGTATCACACTTACATAGAAAGACTCAGAGGCCACAGGAGGGCGTCAGATCCCCCTAGAACTGGCGCGTGCAGGTGGTTGTGAGCTGCTATGTACGTACTGGGAACTGAACCAGATATCTCTCCAGCCTTTGTACCTTTAAAAAAAAGTAACTGAATTTTTCCAGTCTGGAAATCACAGAAATCCACCTGCCTCTGCCACACACACACACACACACACACACACACACACACACATTTTTGGATTTAATTAATTTATTTTTTACATTCCAATCCCAGTTCCCCCTCCCTCCTCTCCTCCAGTTCCCCCCACTTCTCCCCTCCCATCTGTTCCTTGGAGAGGGTAAGGCCTCACCTAGGAAGTCTACTAAGTCTGTCCCATCATCTCCTTAAAGCAGGACTAAGGCTCCTCTCCACCTCCACAACCCTGTGTCTAGGCTGGGCAAGGTATCTCTCCAAACAGAATTGACTCCACTAAGTCAGTCTGTGCATTAAGAGTTAAACCTTGGACACAATAAATAGATTTTTAAAGAGATAAGATGAAAATCAAAGAGAAAAGAATTAGGGGTCCAGAGACCAAAAAAAAAAAAAAATCTGTCATTGCAATACTAACAGGATGCTTTGGCTTACATAGAACTGGAACAAAGGGCAAGAAAGCACGTAGTCCTGGTCAACATATAGTCTAGTTGAGCCCTGTTCCAGTTCTGGTTCTGCAAAGCGGTTGGAAGAAGCCCTTATTGCTGCCACTGAATTGCTTGAGAGAATCCATCTGGCCCCTACAAGGTGGACACTTCTGCTGCAGAGTGCAGCTTCACACACACAGGGATGACTAACCCTTATCTGAGAGGTCATCTACCCTTCCCAACATTCTGCTCTTTCTGGGACTCAAAAGCAACTTCAGGCTTGAGACAGTGACTCATGTCTCTGCCTTCAGCCTAAAAGGGGATGAGATGGGTCAAGTAGGCACACTCCTTGAATGATTAACATGCTTATGGAGAGTCAAGCAAGAATTTATCCAAACTAAGGCAAAAAAAAAAAAAAAAGTGAAGAAGGCAAGGAACACTTGAACTTGCCTTGTGGGCCTAAATGAATCTGCTCCATGGGGGTGGGGTGGGGGATGAGAAGACAATGACCACAAAGAAGAACTCATTTTGGACGGACAAATGTGGCTCATAAGAAAATGGCAGTTTATAAAGATACAAAGGGAAGCCCCCCCCCGCCCCGCGGTTAGGATACGGTGTTTAATTTTATTGGGGCATGTGTGACTGTGTGACGATATATTACTTATGGTTTATTAAAGCTTGCCTGAGGATTCAGAAAGAGAAGTCAGCCGCAAGCTGTACAGGTCAGGGAGTGCAATATACACCTGTAATCCCAGGACTCAGGATTGAGAGGTAGATGGGTCTCTGTTAGTTCAAGGTCACGCTGACTACACAAGGTTGGATCAGTCTAAAAGAGTAACGGAGCTCAACACCTTTTATCCCAGGACTCATGAGAGGTATTTAAGACAGGAACAGGGCCTCAAGAGCTGGCATCCATTTTCCAGCCACACTGAGGAGAGGAAGGCATTGGTTCTCCAGCCACACTGAGGAGAGGAAGGCATTGGTTCTCCAGCCACACTGAGGACAGGAAGGCATTGGTTCTCCAGCCACACTGAGGACAGGAAGGCATTGGTTCTCCAGCCACACTGAGGACAGGAAGGCATTGGTTCTCCAGCCACACTGAGGAGAGGAAGGCATTGGTTCTCCAGCCACACTGAGGACAGGAAGGCATTGGTTCTCCAGCCACACTGAGGACAGGAAGGCATTGGTTCTCCAGCCACACTGAGGACAGGAAGGCATTGGTTCTCCAGCCACACTGAGGACAGGAAGGCATTGGTTCTCCAGCCACACTGAGGACAGGAAGGCATTGGTTCTCCAGCCACACTGAGGACAGGAAGGCATTGGTTCTCCAGCCACACTGAGGACAGGAAGGCATTGGTTCTCCAGCCACACTGAGGACAGGAAGGCATTGGTTCTCCAGCCACACTGAGGACAGGAAGGCATTGGTTCTCCAGCCACACTGAGGAGAGGAAGGCATTGGTTCTCCAGCCACACTGAGGACAGGAAGGCATTGGTTCTCCAGCCACACTGAGGACAGGAAGGCATTGGTTCTCCAGCCACACTGAGGCGAGGAAGGCATTGGTTCTCCAGCCACACTGAGGACAGGAAGGCATTGGTTCTCCAGCCACACTGAGGACAGGAAGGCATTGGTTCTCCAGCCACACTGAGGACAGGAAGGCATTGGTTCTCCAGCCACACTGAGGACAGGAAGGCATTGGTTCTCCAGCCACACTGAGGAGAGGAAGGCATTGGTTCTCCAGCCACACTGAGGACAGGAAGGCATTGGTTCTCCAGCCACACTGAGGAGAGGAAGGCATTGGTTCTCCAGCCACACTGAGGACAGGAAGGCATTGGTTCTCCAGCCACACTGAGGACAGGAAGGCATTGGTTCTCCAGCCACACTGAGGACAGGAAGGCATTGGTTCTCCAGCCACACTGAGGACAGGAAGGCATTGGTTCTCCAGCCACACTGAGGACAGGAAGGCATTGGTTCTCCAGCCACACTGAGGACAGGAAGGCATTGGTTCTCCAGCCACACTGAGGACAGGAAGGCATTGGTTCTCCAGCCACACTGAGGAGAGGAAGGCATTGGTTCTCCAGCCACACTGAGGACAGGAAGGCATTGGTTCTCCAGCCACACTGAGGACAGGAAGGCATTGGTTCTCCAGCCACACTGAGGACAGGAAGGCATTGGTTCTCCAGCCACACTGAGGAGAGGCAGCAGTCTGAGGCTTGGTGAGAGCTGGCGAAGACAGGATTGCCATTCCAGCTGGGTAGAGGTAAGAGGTAGTGGTTGGCTGCTTTGCTTCTCTGATCTTCAGCTTGAAGACTGAACCCCAATATCTGTCTCTGGGTCTTTTATTTATGGTGTTACAGGCATGTTAATCAGACGAGCCAAAAGGGACTTTGACTGCTGGACTTCGATGCTCTGATAGCTGGACCTTGGGAGTCAGCCTCAGGAGGAGGGGTTGGCCAACTGAAGGGATGGGCCTGGAAAGCTAGCTTCAGGAGTGTAATCTAAAGCAGCAAGGCCTGCCAGAGCTCCATGCTCAAGTGTCCCCGTGTCCCTCCAGGGATCACTTGTAGAATCTGATCCCAGCCCTGAACACGAAGAAGGGATTCCTAGTGAGTAGATTAATTCCTTAGAGTAGATTAATCCTTAGAGGAAGCTTGTGTGTGCCCATTGTTCAAAGTGGAAACACATTCTCATTCATCATCTACGGGACAACGAGCCAAGTATGATTGGTGTTGCTAGTATTGGTTTGGGGGGCCTTGTTTGGAGCCAATGTCTCTTTTTATATTTCTGGCTAGCCTGAAACTCACCATATAGCTGAGGTTGGCCTCAAACTCCCGAGTGATTGGGTTAAAGGTGTCAGTGATAATTCAGCCGGATGTTTCCAAGCCAGTAGGAACAATATATTGTCTCTTAACACTCACCGTGGCATGAGCACTAGGTTAATAATCATCTGTCATTAAGGCTACCTTGAATTCTGCAATGCACCCGATTACCACAATTACTAGTCTATAGTGGATTGACCTGGCCCCAGATCCCAATCCACTGACATTTGAGCCTTCGTTTCTGGTTTCTAAAAAAGCCAACTAATTGGTGAGCGTTTGGAATTAAAAAAAAAATCACTTGCCCGTGGGAACTTGCCTTTCCTTCGGCTTAGGTCGTGTTCTTGCTTCAGCGGAAAGTGTGAGTTCACCAATTCAAAAAAAACCTTGTTTTCATTTTTTTGACAATTACACTCACGTACAGAGTCGTGATCACATCCACCCCCTCCATCACCTTTTCCACTAGTCCCTCTCCTTTTTTTTTTTTTCTTTTTTCTTTTTTTTTGTAAATCTCTGAACCTACACGTATTTTTGAGCCTCTCAAAGCATTTTCGCCGTGTGCGGGATCCACCTCCAGCTCAAAAAAACTGGGGGAGCCCTTGGCTTGGTGTTCCCCAAGCTGCCGTTCACCTTCCCGGCGCACCGGGGCGCAATAGGAGCAGCGCCGCGCGGCGCCGAGGAGCGGCGGCCGCTCTTCCTGGCTCGGGGAGGGGGGTGGGTGTGTGGAGGGGGGCGGAGGGGGCGGGAGGACGTTCCCAGAATGCACCTTGTATCAACACGGCGGCGACGGCGGCGGCCCCCCGAAGTCCAGGCGTTTGGCACAGCGGCACGCACCTCCAGCCGCGTCCCGCCAGTCGGTGTTGTGGGGCGACTGCGACCATGGCGGAGTCGGCGCCCGCTCGGGTGAGGGCGCGCCGGCGGCGGCGGCGGGGCGGCGAGGACGCAGGGGGAAGAGAGAGAGAGGGAGAGACAGCGCCCTTGCCCGGGGCGGGGCTTGCGGAGCTCGGTCGCCGCGGCTTGGTTTCCTCCGCGGCCGTTGGCGCCGGCGCCGGCGCCCGACCTTCTTCCCTCCCCGGCCATCCGCTTGCTCTCTGGAGCCCCTTCTGCCTCGGGCTCGGGGTCCTTGGCTCCCTGCGTCTTCTCGCGGGAAACTTGAGCGAAGCTTGTTGAATTGTTTTGGGGGGCTCGTGCCCGACCCGTGCTAACGAGGGACTCGTTTTTTTCTTTCCTTTTTTTTTTCTTTCCTTTTTTTCCTTTCCGAGCTGGGAGGGATGGCGCGGGGGATAAAACCCCGGGGTTCCGGCCGTTTGCCTGCCTTGGAGCTCAGCTGCGGGAGGCCTCGGGACCGTGGCTCCCCGCCGGCCACTGGGGGGTTCTGCGGGTTGGTCCCGGGGTGCCGTGGTCGGCCGTGTAGATTTCTGCACCGAGTTTGGCGCTACAGGTTGAAACCGGGCGGGGCCTCCTCTCCTTGGGGACAGGTGTATTTACGGAGCTGGATGGAGGGTGCGCGCCGTTGTGTCTTCTCTCTCTCTCCCTCTCCCTGTGAAGACGCTGAAAAACTGGTTTGAGGGATCTATCTCCGGGCCTTTGTCTCCTTAACTTGAATTGAGAAGGTTGGGTTCGTCGTTAAAGAAATTTCTAATTTTTCCCCCCTCCACCATGGCTCCAATACTGTGTCACAGTTGGCGGTTAACTTAGGAGAAAGAGTAGGGTAGACGGAACTTAAACTTGGCTTTCTGTTGTAGAGACAGGGTCTTACTCCGTAGTACATACAGGCTGGCCTCGAGCTGATGACAGTCTTCCCTATTCCGTCTCCCCTGGGCTGGGATTACAGGTGTCAACCGTTATGTTATGCTCGGGGTTTTGATTGGTGGTGGTTTGTGTTTTGAGGCTTAGCCACACGTGCTGCAGCCTTGGTTGAGGGATGATGACCTTAAACTCCTACATCTGACTCCCAAGTGCAGAGGTTACAGGCATACGTCTTGTTTAAATTTTTATCTCTGTTTTGTTTTTAATCTTTCAGAATAAGGTCTTGACCTGCAACCCACGTGCTACTTAGACAGGGTCCTTGCTAGGCAAACAGGGAGAGGGACCATGGCCTGAAAATAAAGGTGGCAAATTTTCAAGATGGACATCTTCCTCCTCACCCTCCCAACTCTTTTGAGACAGGACTGACGGCCTAAAACAAAGGTTTTTTTTTTTTTTATGGTTTTCCCCACCAGCAGGCCCCCTGCTGAGTGACTTGGCTCATCTAGTTCAAGGCCTGCTCAGGAGGTTGTTGCACTGCAATCCTGGGCCAGGCAACCGTCTTCAAATGAAGCGACCCCAGATTAGAGGAGGAAAACTCTTCAGAGGCCTTAAAAACTCTGTGGTTTCCTGGGTAGTACCCCTCTCCACTTTGCAGAGGGTCCTTTTCTCTGTGTACGTGTTTCCTCGCCCCCCCAACACACACTTTTCTTCATCTGCGGATTCTGTCAGTAGTATCTGAGATTTCTCTGACGCTACCTGTTGAGCTTGAGATTTTCCTTGCCCTATCCAGACCCCCAGGGCTGTCCATCCCCAGCCTCCTGGATAGTATTGGTAGGGTCACTGTTGTGCATCTTGGCTTTTGCATTGAGTTTTACTGAATCTTTTGGGGGTTCAGAAAAACTTTGGGAATCCTGAGATATCTTTGTGAGAGGGAAAAAAAAAAAGAGGTCTAAGAAAGCTTGTGTTGAAAATTTTGCCTCGAGTGGAGTTGACTATGGTTTTTCTCGGGAATGGGTAAGAACTAATTAGGAAAGGACTGAAAGATTTATCAGTGTTTATTTTCTTTCTTTCTTTTTTTTTAACATACCAATCCCAGCTCTCCCTCCCTCTCCTCCTCCCATTCCCCCACCTTTCCCCCATCCATCCTCCCCTCCATCAACTCCTCAAAGAGGGTAAGGCCTCCCATGGGAAGTCAACTAAGTCTGTCCCATCGCCTTGTTGAGGCAGGACCAAGGCCCTCCCCTCTGTGTCTGGGCAGAGCAAGGTATGTCTTCATAGGAACTGCGCTCCAAAAGCGGTTCATGTATTAGGGATAGATCCTGTTCCCACCGCCAGTAGCTCCACGAATTACCCAAGCCACCCACTGTCACCTGCATTCATTCAGAGGGCCTCGTTTGGCCCTGTCCAGGTTCCCCAGCTGTCTGTCCAGGTTCCCCAGCTGTCTGTCCAGGTTCCCCAGCTGTCTGTCCAGGTTCCCCAGCTGTCTGTCCGGAGTCAGTGAGCTCCCACTAGCTCGGTTTCCCTATCATGGTCTTGGTCTCTGCTCATATTTTCACTCCTCCCTCTCTTTGACTATACTCTGGGAGCTCAGCCCAGTGGGTTGTTTATTTTCAAGGGATTCACGTTGAACTGGGACAACAGGGCACTAGTGTTTACAGCATTTCTGCATCTAACTCCCTTAAGACACAGATGCAGTCTGAAGTGTTGATCATCTGCCCTGTTCCCATTGTAATTTTAGTGTTTGCAGTTTCTAGACTAGATTACGGGTGGTTCTAACATGAGGTGGGGGGACCGGTAGATTCCTTCTCCGGCCATTCCACTCCTGGTTATTCCTCAACAGCAGGCCTCACTGAGACTGAGCAATAAAGGTCCACCAAAATCTCAGACTAAGCTTGAACTTACAGTTTTGATAGTGTAGAAGTTATTTAAACTGTTCTTGAACATGTTTGTATTCTCACAGATTCTTTAGGTGAGGATTCTGTACTGCTAAGCCAAATTCATATCCTGATAATAACAACTAAAAATTTTAAAAACCACCGAGGAAAACAAAAAACCTATATAGATGATATTTGAAATGTATAGTAAATGATAAGCCCGTTGTTTTGTATGATAATTTTAAAACAGCATAATAAATAATACTTATAACCCAAAAGTAGAAAGCGTGAACTCTTAGAATATGAGCAGAGTTGTGAAGCCAACTTTGAGAACATTTGCTGAATTGTATTTGATATTTATGTAATCAAGGGTCCTTGGGAGGAAAAAAATTGAAGACAACACTGGGTCAAAAAGTAAACTTTTTTTTTTAGCCGGTTTCACAATGTAGGTAGCTATGGCTGTCTAGGAACTTGATACGTAAAACAGGCTGGCCTTGAACTCCTAGAGATCTACTTGGCTCTGCCTCCCAAGTGCTGGATTAAGTGCCTGGCTGTATAAGATAGTAACTTGTTCAGGAGTTAGTGACAGATAATTTAAACTACAAGACAGCATTGATGTAGAGGTTAGGAATAAAAGTTCAGAAGCCAGAAGTCAGTGGTCTTTGTGAATATATTTGTCATAATTGCTAAAAGACTAAAAAAGTCACAAAGGCAAAGATATGAGGATGGGAAAAATCCAACTTTCATTTTGGAAAAATCCAAAAGATAATACAAATGGCTAAATATAAAAGGATATGAGAGAATAATATTGATAAAAAGAAACGTATCATTGCTAGAGATGGAAAATACTCCTGCACTAATAGAGGAAAAAGATTAGTTTAAAAATGTCATTTCAAAAAAGAAAAAGAGTTTGAGGCTAATTATATAGCTTCAGATATATCATCATTTACAATATTCAAACATAATCTAGTATTTTATTTATCAGAAAACAGTAGTAAGGATGTTGTACATCCAGCAGAATTTTTGCAGAGGGGGAAAGTATGCCGCTCTGGTTACTGGGTAGTCTAGTTACAGGGACAGTCAAGCTAAGTGCAGCAAGTATGACCAACAAAATGAGTTTTAATTTTTTTATTTTAGCTGATCATGATGGCTCGTGCCTTTAATCCCAGCACTTGGGAGGCAGAAGCAGGTGGGTCTCTTTGAGTTCCAGGCCTGTCGGGTCTATATTATGTGTTCCAGGCCAGCCAGAGCTATATAGAAAGACCTTGTCTCAGTAATGGTAAAACATTCCCCAAAATGAGAATTGAGTAGAGAGCTGGGGAAAAGCGTATGTTCAAAAGCCATTATTAATATTTATTTAATTTTTATTTATTGTTATTTGAGACAGGGTTTCTTTATGTGGCCCTGCTGTCCTGGAACTAACTATAGACCAAGCTGGCCTCAAACTCACAGAGATCCACCACCGCCCGGCTATTTTACCCATTTTCTACCAGCGTATAATATCTCTGTATGTATGGTTTAGAGCATTTGTTAACTCTTGCAGAGGACCCAAGTTCAATTCCCAGCACCCATGTGGTGACTCAAAACTATCAGTAACTACAGTTCCAGAGGACCTGATGCCTTCTGGCCTTCATTGGGGTGTCCATGTGTACACTCAGGTCAAACATTCATAAAATAAAAAATGCAAAGGGAAAAGTAGAGGGAAAGACACCTGCCGGATATGTTCACACAAGTCTGGGTTGGTCTTGGTGTGTACGCAGACTTTGGGGTGGGGGCTGTCGAATAGTTGGAGTCCATCCACCTTCCGCATGCATTTGGGATCCTTCATAAAGCTGCTTGCCTGCGTCTGCCCCGCTGGCACAAAGTGGAGCACAGACATGATTCCAGACTTGTGATGTTATCTTTAAGTCACTGAAATTTAGGACGGGTTGATGCATAGCAAGAGTTGTCTGCAGTAGTAAGCTAGGGAATATGTTAAAATATTGAGCATGCTTTAAAATTCCTTCAAGTGCAATAGCGTACTCTATGTATGAATTAAAACATTTTATCCTGCCCTGCGTTGGTGGCGCACGCCTTTGATCCCAGCACTCGGGAGGCAGAGGCAGGCGGATCTCTGTGAGTTCGAAGCCAGCCTGGTCTACAGAGCGAGTTCCAGGACAGCCTCCAAAGCAATACAGAGAGAAACAAAACACAACACAAATAAAAAGCTACATTTTATCCTAAAAATGTTATTTCTCAAATTTATCTGTGGAATTTGCTGCATTTCCGGACACAGTATCCGAAGATACTTTTGTGAAACTCTTTGTATTTGTAGGACATCTTCAGTGGGCCAAGTAAGCCAAGGTGCTACTATAAAATAAAGGGTGGGATCTGTCCTAGTGTGCATCAATAATTACTATGCAGGACCCTAAAGAAAGGTAGCAAAAGCAGACTGACAGGTAAAGGGACTTGGTTTACGGTAGATAATAGCATCACAGATTCGTAGGTAAATGTTGACTACTTATTACTGTTTTTTTGTGTGTGTGTGTATGACAGTCTTACTGTGTAGCCCTGGCTGGCCTGGGACTCACTATGTAGACCAGGATGGATTTACACTCACAAAGATTCACCTGTGCTGTGGTTAAAGGCATGTGCCAACACGCCTGTCCCTGTTTTTATTGATTGATTTTGTGTGTAGGGTGTGTGTGTGTGTGTGTGTGTGTGTGTGGTGTGGGTGTGAGCAATGTGTGTGTGTGTGTGCGCGCGCGTGCTGTGTCACTCAAGTGGCTGTCAGATGCCAGCTTGTGGGAGTCAGTTCTCTGCTTCCACCATGTGGATTCCAGAGATCAAACTGTTAGGTCCTCAGGCTTGGCCTTTATCTACTGAGCAATGTCACCAGCCCGATAATGGCTTTAAAAATTGTTTTTACATTTATTTATTTATTTATTCTGTGTGTGTGTGTGTGTGTGTGTGTGTGTGTGTGTGTGTGTGTGTGTGTGTGTAGGTTAGAGGACAACCTGAGGGAGAAGCTTAACTGTATGGTGATATTTTGTCTATTTTTCTAATACTCTCAAACATTATTATGAAATATACATGCAACTTTTTCTCATCCCTCTTTTTTGTTTGTTTGAGAGACAGTGCTTCCTGTGGCCTTGAACTTGTTTTGTAGTGGGTGACTTGCATTTTTAATTCTGCTGCCTCCTTTTCAAGTACAGGGATTGCAGGCAGGCATGTACCCCGGTTCATGTGTTTCAGATCCAAGTCAGGGCTTTGTGTACTCTAGGCAAGCATGACACCAGCAGAGCTGTGCACCCAGCCCCCCATGAAACTCTCAGTGTCCGTCTTAATTAGGTTTTCTATTGCTGTGATGAAACACCATGACCAAAAAAACATGTTGGGGAGGAAAGGGTTTATTTGGCTTATGCTACCATATCATTGTTCAACACCGAAGGAAGTCGGGGCAGGAACCTGGAGGCCGTGGCTGAAGCGGAGGCCATGGAGGGGAGCTACTTACAGACTGGCTCTCTCTGGCTTGCTCAGCTCGCTTTTTTATGGAATCTAGATCTCCTGCCCAGGAGCGGCCCCGCCTACAGTGGGCTGGGCCCTCCCACATCAGTCACTAATTCAGAAAGTGCCCTACAGGCTTGCCTGCAGCCTGATCTTACTGAGCTAGTCTCAACATAGGCTCCCTTCTCTCCTGTGAGTCTAGCTTGTGCCAAGTTGACATAAAACTAGCCAGCAGCAGATCAGAATGGAAAAGTGTATTTGGGTTGTTTGTTTGTTTGTTTGTTTAAGGAAGCTAGGTGAGAGTCCTGGACTTGGAATTGCTTTCTTTATTTGGTATTTGGGAGTGGCCTTGTCTCACTGGCCTGTATCATCAACCCTACAGCACAGGAGAAAACGGCGTTCCACACCGTTAGCCCCCGCCACACCACCTTCACAAGCAACAGAGAAAAGCCCTTATTTTCAGACCACAGAAATCTCACTGTGGACCGTGGTGGCTGCTATTCAGGCTGTGGAGAAGAAGATGGAATCCCAGGCTGCCCGACTACAGAGCCTGGAGGGACGCGCAGGGACAGCTGAGAAGAAGCTGGCTGACTTTGAGAAGACGGCCGTGGAGTTCAGCAACCAGCTGGAGGGCAAGTGGGCCGTGCTGGGGACCCTGCTGCAGGAGTACGGGCTGCTGCAGCGGCGGCTGGAGAACGTGGAGAATCTGCTCCGCAACCGGAACTTCTGGGTCCTGCGGCTGCCCCCTGGCAGCAAGGGGGAGGCCCCCAAGGTAGAACCTCTAAGTTTAAAAGCTAGGAAAGAAGGGAGGCCAGCCCTCGATTAGTCAGGATGTTAATCCACTGGCCTGTACTCAGGAGTCAAAGTGCGTGTTCTGTGGCTCACATTTGCAGGTGTCCGGATCCCTTGAGAATGATGGGGTCTGTTTCTCGGAACAGGAGTGGGAGAACCTGGAAGACTGGCAGAAGGAGCTCTACAGAAATGTCATGGAGAGCAACTATGAAACTCTGGTCTCTCTGAGTGAGTGGCAGTTTCCTTCCTGAATTCTCTCAGAGCCCTGCTGGTTGCACCTGACACTCTGCTAATCTCCGTTGCTGGGAGGAGGAATAAGTTTCCAGGTCCTCTCCCCTGCAGAGGCTTGAGAAGGTCTCAGGGATGAGCCTTTTGTATTCTTCTCTGGTAACACAGTCATCTCGAAACTATTTATGATGATATCATTGCTGAAGTATAATACGGGTATTTAATGCATAGCTGCAAAGTATTCGTTACTTTTGTATTGCTATATAAGACACTGACCAAGGCAAGTTATATAAAAAGATAATTATGTGGGGCTTTTGGTTTCAAAGGATTAGAGTCCTTCATGGCCAAGCAGAGGGGGCAGGCGGCAAGTGGCTGGAATAGCCCTGAGAGCTCATATCTTGAACCTCAAAGGAGATGTAGAGGAAATGGACTCTAATTGGCTTCAGTCTTTTAAACCCTCAAAGCCTACCCCACTGACTTGACTCCTCTAACAGGCTGTACCCCTAACTTCCCAAATAGTTCAGCCAACGGGTGACAAAGTTTTCAAACATATGACCGCCACAACTATAGTAAACTTTTATTTTTTGTTTTGTTTTTTGAGACAAAACCTTTCTGTATAGCCCTGGCTGTCTTAGATCAGGTTGGCCTTGAACTCAAAGAGATCCTCTTGTCCTCTGCCTCCCAAGAGCTGGGATCTAATGTGCCACCATGTCTAGCTAATGTGCTATTTTAATATTTAAGATGGTTTGATGAGAAACCCTGTAACTTTGGAACTGACGAGGAGTGCTTGCTATCCAAGCCTGATAGTGTGCATTCAATCCCATGATGGAAGGAGACAACAGATTCTTTAAAGTTGTAGCAGGTCACCAGCCAGCTCCTGAATCATGACACAGAGGCTTAGTATCAGTTATGAATGCTCGGCCCACCTTGTGCTTGTCTGCTCCGCTGGCTCCTATAACTTAATGTAACCTGTGCGTTTCATCCGTTTTGCCTTGGGGCTCTCCACCTTTCTTTCATTCCATATGTCCTGTCTTCACTGCTTTCTCCACAGCTGCCTGGCAGGCCCCGGGCGTCTCTCCTCTCTCCTCTCCTCTCCTCTCCTCTCCTCTCCTCTCCTCTCCTCTCCTCTCCTCTCCTCTCCTCTCCTCTCCTCTCCTCTCCTCTCCTCTCCTCTCCTCTCCTCTCCTCTCCACTCTCTCCTCTCCTCTCCTCTCTCCTCTCTCCTCTCTCCTCTCTCCTCTCTCCTCTCTCCTCTCTCCTCTCTCCTCTCTCCTCTCTCCTCTCTCCTCTCTCTCTCCTCTCTCCTCTCTCCTCTCTCTCTCTCCAGAGCCTGCATTCCTCCTCCTACTTATTTCTCTCTGCCCACCGGCCTCAGCTATCCCTCTACTGCCTAGCGATTGGCATTCAGCTTTTCATTAGACCACTATCACATGCTTCAGACAGCAGCACGTCTCTGCATGATTAAACAAACGTAAGCATAAACAAATGTAACACATCTTTACACAGGAAAACAAATGTAACACATCTTTACACAGTTAAAACAATACTCCACAAGTAGTTGCCTTCTGGTCTCCACATGTGGACTATGGTACAGGCATACCTACACTCTTACATATTATATATATATATATATATCCACATAAATAATAAATTAAACTATTTTAAAGGGAGTCTTGTAGCTTGAGACATTCAGCACAGGCGGGGAAAACCCTTTTTCTTGGCAGTTAGTTAGCCAATGTCATTGGAAGTGTTTTATATAAATATTAATAATACATGCTATATAATGATGTGTTGTTTTCTTGTTAGATAAATCTTTTAAAATGTGGGTCCCTGGAGAAATACCAAGGAGGCCACTGGCTGGACCAGAATGAGGGTGAGGAAAGTCAGAGTGGGTCAGAGAGGTGGTCATGTTACCTCAGATGGGTAGCATGCTCTCTTGAGGCCGTTTTCCTGTGTCTCAGAACCTGGCTTTCCTGGCACTGCCTCAGCAAGGAGGCCAGGAGGATGAAATTAGGCGCTGTGAAAGCATCCTTGGCAGAACTTGAGCTGTGTGGGCAGAGGTGGTGGTGGGGTGTGGACACTGCCACCTGACCCTCGTAGCCCTAACGGAGGACCCGGAAACTAGGGCCACGCATGCTAACAGGGCTGCAGAGTGAGGAGAACACTCTCCATTGCCAGTGGGAGCGCAAACGTAGCCACACTGGGAATCAGTATAGTGGCTCCTCAGAAAATTGGTAATTGATGTACTTCAAGACCCAGCTATACTCCTGGGCACATACTCAAAGATGCTGCTCCATCTTACCATAAGGACACTTGCTCAGCTGTGTCCATAATAGCCAGACACTGGAAACAATCTAGATGTCCCTCAACCAGAGAATGGGTAAAGCAAATGTACATTTACACATGGAATATTACTCAGTTGTTAAAAACATTGACATCCTGAAATTCCCATTGGCCAGAAATGTCTAGGAGAACTTGGCAGTAACATTGTCTCTTGTGTCTTTTTAACTGTCAGCATTGATTCCTTGGCACTGGTCATTTGTTCTATGGCATCTGACCAGCATGATGTAAGCGGTACTCTTGAACTCACACTGTGTCTTTTCCAATCCAGAGGTCCTTGGGCAGCCAGAAGAAGCAGCAGCAGAATTGGGTGCAGAGATGGTGGGTGACTTGGTTGAAGAAGGTACCCACCTGGGTGAGTAGCTCCAGAATGTTCTTTTGTCTTCTTTCTCTATCCCTACCCTGCAGGTTCCTATAGCTTATAGGGAGCTTTCCAACAGCTGAACTGCCAAATAATATCAGTAATCTCATCTGGCACGTGCAGGTTGTGGACTCCTGTTTGGTTTTGTTGTTGTTGTGTTTTTGTTTATTTCTTCCCAGACAGAGTTTCTCTGTGTAGGCCTGGCTGTCCTGGAACTCCTCTGTAGACCAGACTAGCCTCAAACTCAGAGACCCACCTTTGTCTGCCTCCCTGGCCCCAGGAGCTACCAGTGCCCAGCTTGTTTGTTTGTTTTTAAAAGTCTATTTTATTTTTATTTCTTTATATGTATGCATATGTGTCTGTGTGACTGCATGATGTGTGTGAGGGTATCCATGGAGGGCAAAAGAGGGAGAGTTGAGTCTCCTAGAGCTGGAGTTACAGATGATTGTGAGCCACATGTCGTGGGTGTCAGAAACGAGTCCTCTTGTTCAGTGGGCTGTCTCTTTGGCCTCTCTGCTTGTTTTTGAGACAAGTCTTACTAAGTAGTCCATGATAGCCTGGACTCACTATGTAGCTCAGGCTGCCTTTGAACTCATGATCCTCCTAATTCTACCTCCTGAGTAGGATTTCAGTTGTGAGCCACCATACTTTCACTAGAACTGTTTATAGGTGTTTCTTAACTCCTGCCAGTCTTTGGGATAGTACAGATTGTGTAGAATGCTTTTTGTGCCCTGTATGTAATGGACATAATAGGCTGTGGTCAGCGTGAGTGATGGGGGGTGGGCAGCAAGCCACAGAGCCAAGGAAGAAAGAAACTAGGAAAGGCATTTGAGCAGAATATGCAGGAAGAGCAAAACTGGGCATGTGTTTTGTTTGGTTTTTTTTTTTTTTTTACTAGTTGATGTGTATGGCTGTTTTGTCTGTGTCTGTGTACTTCTTTTGTGCTTGAAGCATAGAAAGTATCATGTCTCCTGAAACTGGAGTTACTGATGGTTGTGAGCTGCCATGTGGGTGCTGGGAATTGAATTTAAGTCCTCAGCAAGAACAGCTGGGGCTCTTAACCACAGAGTCATCTCTCCTGCTCTTGGGCGTGTGATTTCTCAAACTATTAGTTTAGTGTGTTAAACACGGGCTCTTGCACATGCTAGGCAAGCGTGTGTGGCTAGCCTTTCTCTTCAACCCCTCTGTTAAAAAATCCTTTTTTAAATTTTGAGATGGGGAGTTTGAGGCCAGCCTGGTCTACAGAGTGAGTTCCAGGACAGCCAGAGCTGTTACACGGAGAAACCCAGTCTTCAAAAACAAAACAAAACAAAAATTTTAGGTAGGGTCTCACTTGATTGGCCACACTGGTCTTGAGCTTGCTCTGTAGCCTAAGCAATCTGTTCACTTGTGACCCTCTTGCCTCATCTTTCTGAGCAGCTGAGATTACAGGCCTGTATTACCAGGGCCACCTTCAAATTTGTTATTTTAACACTTTTGAGTTAATCAGTTGTTATAGTGTGTTTTGTCATTTTTCATAGAGTAATACCAGTTTATAGGCAAGTTTGGAGAACTATAATCACATTGTTCTCTAAGAGTAAGATGCTCAGATCCTCCTCCAGAGTGTCCTAATTCAGTTGTCCTAAGAAGCTTTGGTTTGAGTCTTCTGAAGTCTTGAAGCGTTTGGCTCTGGAGATACCAAAAGTGCTGGAATGTGATGTTTTGTTGGTCTTTTTCCTTGCAGCAGATAGGACCATGGTTAAGCAGGAGGTGCTGTACAAGCCGGAGGGCCCTGCAGGTCTTCCCAGCATGTTCTCCAGTGCTGCTGAACAACAGGCTTTCTTTGGCGCGGAGCAGGCTGTGTTCTGGAATAGTCCAGGAGATCCTGCTCTCTTGGAGTCAGGCCCTGGGGACTGTAACCCTGAGTCTGTTGAGGGCAGTAGAGACCCTGCCCCTGGTAGAAAACTGAACTGCCCCAAAAAACAGAAGTCTCAGAGGCAGGCACACTTGGGTCAGGAATGTGGACAGGGCCTGAAGGCGAAAAGGGACAGCAGCCCATACAGATGCTCTGAATGCCAGATCAGCTTCCGCTACAAGCATCAGCTGACGGCACATATGCAGAGCCACGTGGACAGAGAGTCTTACTCAGCCACAGAACCAGAGGAGAGCCTTAGGCCCAAACCGCGGCTGAAGCCGCAGGCCAAGAAGTCAAAGCTGCATCAGTGCGATGTGTGCCACAGGAGCTTCAGCTGCAAGGTGAGCCTGGTGACCCACCAGCGCTGCCACCAGCAGGAGGGCCCCAGCACCAGTCCACAAATCCAGGAGAGATTCTCACCCAACAGCTTAGTCGCTCTGCCTGGCCACATCCCTTGGAGGAAGAGCCGGAGTTCTCTCATCTGTGGGTACTGTGGCAAGAGTTTCAGCCACCCGTCTGACCTGGTGCGGCACCAGCGCATTCATACAGGGGAGCGGCCCTACAGCTGCCCCGAGTGTGAGAAGAGCTTCGTTCAGAAGCAGCACCTCCTGCAGCACCAGAAAATTCACCAGCGGGAGCGGAATGCGCTGGCTGCAGAACACGGAAGGCCCAATGGCCTGCTTTAAGGCTGCCGGCCCCTCACCGTCCGGGGGTGGGGGGGGTGGCATGAGTCCCCCGCAGAGACACCGCAGAGTCAGGCCGACTTCTTCCTGAGAATTGTCTCTGCTTTGCCCCCCTTGGCTAAGCACAAAGGCTAGGAGAGACACCGGAGAGAAGATCTAAGGCTCTAGCCTCTGCCATCGAGGCCCTGCTACTACTGGGTTTGTTTCTTTAACCTTTTGGGGCCCCTGTTTGTGGTTGTCTTGTCACACCACAGGGACTGGTGGCCAGTTCCAGGGCCCACCCTAACGTTTCACACGTCTTCCCACAGTTAAATGGGGCCACAGAGGTATGTGGAGAGTTCCAGGAAGTACCGCCCTCCGTTTCCCTTCATTTTGTAGCCTCCTTGTTAATAACTAGTATAAATAATTTAAATGAACTGCTTAGGTTGTTCTAAAGACCGACCCCCTTTTGGAGTTAGATTCTTGTTGATTTTTTTAAAATATAGTTTAAAACTTGTTTTATAAATTTCAAGAGTTGTAGAAGTTGTTCCTAACCTGGGAACTGAGCCTACCCTCCAGGAGGGAATAGTTATGGGCTCTTTTAGCCCACCCACACTTAACAGGCTGGAGAGCCAAGACACTGCTGGGTTCCCTCGGTGGGTTCTGAGCACACTCAGATGGGGCCAAGAGGAAGCCCCTGAAGCCCCTGCTGGACGCCGAGACTTCTGTGAAGAAGCTGGGAGTTCAGTTCTGGGAGATCGGTGTCTCATGGGCTCTCCCCCACTCTGTCCTGGCTTTGCTGTGTTTCTGCAGCTCTGTGGGGGCAGGGAGCAGGGAAGACTGAGCTTGACTCTGTTACACCGGGTATCACGTGAGGTTGTTCAGATTAGACTTTCCAGTCTCTGTCCCAGAGACGGAGGAGGAAAAGCACAGACGCTTGTCTCAGGAGTGTCGAGTTCCCGCCCCACTGTCATTTGGGCAGGGAGGTACGAGTGGTCCCTTGGTCATATGTGAATGTATCCTTGGATGATTTACAGTTGTCTGGAATAAATCTTGTTACTTGTATTAAAACGAAAAACCACATGGGATGTTTTCTGTTTATCAAGAATTGTCACCTGGAGTCAAGTGGGGAGAGGTTCCTCACCAGGCAGCCTAGCCTGAACCTATGATCATCTTGCTTCAGAGCTCACACACACTGGACCAGGGATACTGTTGCTTCTACAATTTATATACCTCAATGTCAAGATTAGATTCTTTTCCCTGTTCACAGGAGTATGGTCTCAGCGCCTGCTAGGAGTTTGAAGGTAGAATGGGCTCAGACTGCATCCGAGACCGCTGGATTGGATGGTTTTTGGGGGGAAGGGGAAGTATAGCCATGACTGGTACCCTCTCTGTAGACCAGGCTGGCCTTCAACTCAGAGATCCGCCAGCCTCTGCCTCCCAAGTGCTGGAATTAAAGGCATGTACTAACACTGCCTGGCAGAATTTACATTAAAAAATAATATATTTGGTTTTTTGAAGTAGGGTTTCATGTGTTCCAAGTTGGCCATGAACTTGCTGTAAAGTTGAAGCGACCCTTGATCTCCTGATCTTCCCATCACCATTTCTCAAGGACCACCATGCTAAGCAACAAGTTTAATGCCAGCATATAGCACTTTTATTGCTATAATAAAACTTGAAACTCATATGCTGCAGGGGTTAGGGACAGAATTATACTTTATCCCACCAAATCACTGCACACGACAGCAGTAAGTGAGAAGAGACTAAAGAAAAGTCAAGACCAGCAGAGAGCCAAGCTTCTAAACCCAAGAGATCGCTGTGGCTATGATGGTCAGTGTCATTTTCTCAGAGGACTCTTAAGGCTTTGTCACGATGGCTGGGTGTCTACCTGGGGTAGTAGAACATCTATAGACAACACCTGAACAACACCTTTAGTTTAAAATTTCCCTTCAAGTCTGAAAGTTTAGGAAGTGGAGCTTGGGTAGATTACGTGTAATCTTGACTGTCCTGTAACTTGCTGTATAGATCAGGCTGGCATGGAACTTAGAGATCTGCCTGCTGAATGCTGGGATTAAAGGCATGAGCCACCACCATCCAGCCCATAGGATTCTTTTTTTAAAGGCCAGGTCACAAAGAAGGCTTCAGAGATCCCTGCTCACCTAGGGACAGATACTTTAGTGTCCAACACATGAAGGAACCTGTTTTAAAAGGCAGATAGTTAATGAAGATGGGGGGGGGGTCTGTCAGAGGCAAAGGCTCCCTCACTCCCCATTTGAGCTTGGGTAGGACTTTGAACTAACAGAAGGATCTCCCTCATTTTGGAGAAAAATCAATAGCACCTGAAATCCACCACGGCTTTGCATTACAGCAGCAAGATTGTCATAATGTATAATAGATAATTTCATTCAAAAAAAAGATCAAAACTCCTGCATCCCCACCCAAACAGCAATTCCTATTCTAGAGTTAACTCATCATTTGTTAATACTTGATGGTATCCTTCCTTGGAAACCTATATGAAAAGATAGAAACTGCATCTTCATTCAAAATAAAATGAGTAACTTGGGGTTTATGGCATATAGTTTTGGTCAACACACAGGAACAGGAAGAGGACACGGAGGTGTCTGAATCAAAACTGGGTGGTAGCAGTCTAGACAAAGCTGGGATTTTGAGAAAAGTCGGATCCATGTGAACACAAAACTTACCTCTTTTTTTTTTTTTAAAGACGGGTTTTGTGTAGCCCTGGCTGTCCTGAAACTCACTCACTTTGTAGACCAGGCTGGCCTTGAACTCAGAGGTCCACCTGCCTCTGCCTCCCAAGTGCTGGGACTAAAAGTATACACCACCACGTCTGGCACACGCATCATAAGATCCTTATGGTGCTATCAGTAGGCTATGTAGCCTGGGCTTGAATTCACCGCTGTCCTCTGACCTTCAGCCTCCCAAATGCTGGTATTTCCGGTGGGGGCCGGCATGCCGTGCTCCCTAGGCACTGTTTAAACGACACGGCTTACTTGCCTGTTTCAACTGTCACACACTGAAAGGTTGCTCTGGGAGGTGTGGAGAAGAAGGTTGGACATGACACACAGGGAAGCAATGCCACATACCCACCTAAGCTGATATGCCTTCTCTCTCCTTCCTAGTCACACAGTTGAGGTTCTAATGGTCACTCACCTGACTAGTCAGCCTAGCTAATCCCATCACCATATGGCCTTGTGGAGCTGTTGGAAATAGGCTTTCTTCAGAGTTTTACCGTGGCATTCCCAGCTGCTAATCAAAAGCTTCTACAGCCTCACTTTACTGTGTCTTTTCATTTGTGTTGTAGTCACATTATTCTTCCTGTTCTGAATAAACCTCCTGCTGCCTTTTTGGTATTTTGGTGTCTAAGCTCTTTTTCTTTTTTTTGAGAGAGAGAGCTTGCTTCCCTCATCTGTTTACCCGTCGTGTGAGCATGTTGTGGAATAGTCCTTTACACACTGAAAACGTGTCACTTGATCGGCTTAATAAAAGGCTAAACAGTCAATAGCTAGGTAGCATTTTTGGAACAGAGAAAACAGTGTGGTAAGAAGGCGGCCAGACACAGGAAGCAGCATGGGCATTACAAAGTAAAGGTAACTGAGCCTCGTAAAAGAATTAGTAAGTGTCCATGTCATGGTTCGGGAGCTGGTTGGTAGGACAGGGAAGTCCACCAACATGAGCATGTGTGTGCCATCAGAACACAACCTAGAGTTCTTTCCCTCTACCGTGTGGGAACGCTGATCAGACTCCAGGCCGTAGATTCGGCAGCAAACTCACTAAGCTGTCTTTCTTTTTTAAAGGATTTTATTATGTATACAGTGTTCTGCCTGCATGTATGTCTGCAGGCCAGAAGAGGGCACCAGATCTCATAACGGATGGTTGTGAGCCACCATGTGGTTTCTGGGAATTGAACTCAGGACCTCTGGAAGAACAGGCAGTGTTCTTAACCCCTGAGCCATCTCCTCCAGCCCCTAAGCTGTCTTTCTTTTCCTCACAGAGCAAATAAATGATGGGTACTTGTTATGTAGGCAGTTTTAATATTTGGGATACATCAGTGAACAGAACACATTGGCTGTATTTTGTTTTCTTTAGACTCTTTCTCTTTTTTTTGAGATGGGGTTTCTCTGTAGCTTTGGAGCCTGTCCAGAACTCTGTAGACCAGGCTGGCCTCGAACTCACATTAGAGATCCACCCGTCTCTACCTCCCAAGTGCTGGAATTAAATGTGTGCACCATCACTGTCTGGCATAACTAATTTTTTATTTGCTTGTTTGTTTTTGCTTTTGTTTCTTGTTTTGTTTCGAGATAGGTTTTTTCTGTCTAGCTTTGTAGACCAGCCTGGCCTCAAACTCAGAGACCCACCTACCTCTGCCTCCTGAGTGCTGGGATTAAAGGCGTGCGACACCAGCGCCCGGCTCCCCTTCTATTTTTATGTGAGCCCAGGAGGTTGAACTCAGATCCTCATCTTGGGCAGCAAATGCCTTTACACAATGAACCAACTTGCCAGCCTCAGAACTTTTTTAGAATCATCTTTTAAATGTTTTAAAACGCACACCAAAACAAACCCAAAATACAAAAAGCAATTGCCAGCCGGACGTTTATCGGCTTATTGGTTAAAGAGAATAGAGTGAGTGAAAAATACAGGAAACAAAGAAAAAAAGCAGGTTTTACTTTCTATTCCAAGATTAATCCTGGCCTTCCTGAGTAAGGCTTTCTAGTTTCAAAAGGAAATAGGTCTTAGGTGGAATAGTTTATCCTGGACAGCTCAGGACACGAACTGGTTGGAGAGCCTTATAAATGAACACAGTAGCCATGTGAACTCTTGTAGCCAGCCTGGAGCCAAGGCTTACAGGAAGTATGCCCAGCTGATGTCGCAGGCCAGTCCAGACTGAGTGTGGCAGAGAGGGCTGGAAGAAGGGGGCTCAGCCCAGGATGTGCAGATGAGACTCCGTAAATCCCAGAGGCTAGGAGCCTCGAAGGTGAGTACGTGAGACCCCGGAAGTAACTCCCCTTTAGGGTTCTGGATTAAGCAAGCTAGGCAAGTGCTCTACCACTGAGGCAGACCCCCCAGTCCCGGGCTTGCATTTCGTTTTAAACGCACTTTACCCCTTAGGGCTTCCCATTTGTTCTGAAAACCAAACCAAACCAAACAAACAAACAAACAAAAAAGTTTAGAAACTAAGTTTTCCCCCAGGTGCCTTAGAAAAGGGAATCTGAAAACCCTTTGGATGAGGGGTGTTCAGCTCGAGCGCGTAGCCTGGAAATCTCCTGAGCGTTTCCCTCACGGGCATCTTTTCCCCCCGAAGTAACCCGCGCGTGGACCAGCTTGAGGCCAGCCAGCCCGCCTGGCGACCCGCGCACCAGCGGCAGGGTGGGCACCGCAGGGCCAGTGGCCGCGGGTAGGGCGCGCGGGACGGGTGACGGTCCTTTCGAGCCGCAGGGGGCGCTGTGCGCGCCCCGCCACGGCCTTCCTCCTGTCCGTCCGTCCCCCCTCTCCCCGGCCCCCGGCCCCACCTCCCCGTTAAAAGGCCAGCGGGGCACGTGGCTGGGGACCGTGCGGAGTTTGCGGCCGCCAGGCAGCAGCGAGCAGTTCCTTAGCTGGGCCGCCCCTGCTCCGTCCCCCGACGCACAGCCTGCAGTTGGCGCTACCTGTCTGCGGAGGATCGCACCCCAGCGGAGGAGAGCACGGTGGCCATGGCTCAAGCGGCGCCCGCCCAGGTAGGTAAGCGCCCCGGCCGGCGGCCGCAGCCAGCGTTTTCGAGGGTCTCGGCACGCGCCAGGCCCGGATCGCCCGCGCCACCCACCACCAACCCACCCACCCAGCCCGCCGTGGTCACGGAGCCACCGGCCTGGAGGCCACACGGGCCACCGAGCCTGCACCCAGCGGCGGGCGGCCCAAACACCAGGCCCGGTGGGCCTAAGACCGGTGACCGGCGGCGACCCGGGCCTCACCCCGCCCCTCTCCATTCCCGGCTAGGCGGGGTGCGCAGACGTCCTTCCGAAGGAAGGCCTCGAAGGACCCAGCGGTTTAACACAGCCGAGGACCCCCCCTGTCCATTGTGTTTCTCCTGAGGCCTTCAGCAGAGCAGTGTGGCCTACCGCATCTGCAAGGCTGAGCATTTGGCTGCAACGGGGCAGGGAGATGTTGAGCAAATTAGGCCCCATGCGAACGCACCTTAGAAGGAGACCGCCATTAAAATACCTAGCGACTCCACTTTTTACCTAGGAAACCATTGGACGCGACTCTGTTTGCAACAGATTTCTGGATGTTGTGACCTTTTTTTTTTTTTCCATTTGTTTCTTTAACGAGTACCTCAGTGATTCTTAACTTGTGGGTCGCGAACCCCTGGCGTCGCGTATCAAGTATTTTTACTATCCGGGGCAGTAGCCAAAATTGCAGTTACAAAGTAGCAACGAAGTGATTTTTATGGTTGCAGGTCACCACAACACGGGGAAACCGTATTAAAGGGTCACGGCACTAGGAAAGATGAGAACCATTGCAAGTTTAGCAGGGTTTTTTTGTTGTTGTTGTTGTTGTTGTTTTTGTTTTTGTTTTTTTTAAGAAGGGTAGTTTGGTAATGTTCAGTATGGGACGCTTCAGAAGATATGCCGGAAGAACTGTCCCCTGTATAAATCTCTCTGTTATCTGTGTGTGTGTGTGTGTGTGTGTGTGTGTGTGTAAAATTTTATTAGAAGGGTGGTAGGAAAGAGAAAACAGTTAATGAGACACAGAGACAGAGAGAGAAGAGAAAAGAAGAGGGAGACAGGAAAAGTCCTATCTGGAGAGGATTCATCGGGAAAGAGAGGAGCCGGAAAGACGTTATCTATTCTTACCAATACGTCTCAGACGAGTTTCTGAAACCTTAGTTTCCTGGAAGCCTTTTGAAGGGAACCTCCCCTTCTCTTGTTTTCTGTGTGTCCTCTTGGGTTCCCTGACTGCAAGGAAGAGAAAAGTGGGCTTTATGGGAGTGGGGCTGGAAGGCTTTTTTCTGTACCTGTCCAGATGACAGGAATGATCCTCCTGATCTTTCCACCGGCTCCTGTCCCTCAGTACCCAATACCCCCCAAAAAACCTTGCCAACAAGATAGATCTCAACACTACCTATCACCACAGCTCTCCCCCAGTAGACAAGGGATACTCAAGTCCCTTACTTAGAATAATGTAGTGTTTGTATATAACCCACTCATATACCCCCAAAATACCGTAAGTCTCGTCTCGAGATGTCTAGTACAATGGAAAGGCTAATAGTTGGATCGTGGAGGAAATAATGACAAGAAAAGTGTGTACATGTTCGGAACGGATAACGATTTTTTTTTCTAAATGTTTTTATTTCAGGTTAGGTGAATCTTTAAATGTAGACGTCTCTCTCTCTCTCTCTCTCTCTCTCTCTCTCTCTCTCTCTCTCTCTCTCTCTCTCTGGTTTTTCGAGACACGGTTTCTCTGTATTGTTTTGGAGGCTGTCCTGGAACTTGCTCTTGTAGACCAGGCTGGCCTGGAACTCACAGAGATCCTCCTGCCTCTGCCTCTCCAGTGCTGGGATCAAAGGTGTGCGCCACCAACGCCCAGCTTCTTTTCTTTTTTAAGGATCGTGTTATACTATTCAGCCCTAGCTGGCCTGGAACTTGCCACAGACCAGGCTGTCCTTGAGCTCATAGAAATCCACCTGAGACATGTGCCACTATGCCTGGCTGGTCTCAACTCTTTAGGCTAGCCTGGGACTGTCTAGTTCAGGCTGCCCTTGAACTGGAGGCGATCGCCCCGCCCCCTCCCCCTCCCCCTCCCCCATTTGTAAATGCTGGGATTATAGGTATGTACCCCCATGCCTGGTTCACAGTGCGGATATTTTGATTATGTGATTCTCTTGTCTCCTGAGCAGATGTCTCAGAGGACAAGCAGATGTGTAATAAGAGGCCCCCCCCACCCCTTCTTCTTCACTCCAGCCAGATACAGAGAAGAGCTCATACCTCTACTCCACAGAGATCACACTGTGGACCGTGGTGGCTGCCATTCAGGCCTTGGAGAAGAAAGTGGATTCCTGCCTGACCCGCTTGCTGACTCTTGAAGGACGCTCAGGGACGGCGGAGAAGAAGCTGGCAGACTTCGAGAAGACGGCCGTGGAGTTCAGCAGCCAGCTGGCGGGCAAGTGGGCCGTGCTGGGGACCCTGCTGCAGGAGCATGGGCTGCTGCAGCGGCGGCTGGAGAGCTTGGAGAACCTTATGAACAGCCAGAACTTCTTGGTCTTGCGACTTCCCCCCGGCAGCAAGGGCGAGTTCCCCAAGGTAGTAGCCTTTGGGTGCCCTGAGGTGGGGAGCCTGAGGACCCTTGCCTGTGTAAACGTGTGGGTGAACAAGCGTGGCACTGTGGTTTCAGGTGCCTATGACCTTTGATGACTTGGCTGTGTATTTCTCTGAACTGGAGTGGGCCACGCTGGAGGACTGGCAGAAGGAGCTCTACAGACGCGTGATGACCGACAACTACGAGACGCTGGTCTCCCTGGGTAAGGTGCAGGGCGGTGTGCCTGGGCTGTCATCTAAGCATGGCTTCCTGCAGTCTTTGCCTTTGCTTTAGGCTGCCAGACCCAGACCTTTCCCCCACACCCTCCCCCCATCCTGTCTGCAGATTATGCCATCTCTAAACCGGACATCCTCACCTGGATAGAGAAGGGAGAACAGCCTTTCCCTGCGGGCCCCTGTGGCCAGGGGAGGGGGAGTGAAGAGAAGGCAGTGTGCCCAAGGAAACCAAACACTGGTAAGTATTGGCGCATATTGGGAGCCGTTGGGGCAAAGTGAACAACCCGTTGCCCTGCTGGGTATGCGGGACCGTCTCGGAGGCTAGAAAGGGAGCACAGGCCCTTCCCCCAGAGTGGGCTGCACTTTGTCCCAGGCTGCTCTGAGCAGGAGTAAGCAGAAGGCTTCTCCTTGGAACTGTGAGGGTTCTGCCTCCGCATAGGAGGCCCCACCCAGCACAAAAGGATTGGTTGTGAGGTCAGAGGTGCCAAATACAGATCAAGGGTATAGTAGGTGTCTCCAAAGTGGGCTGATGGTCAGTTATGGTGCAACTATTATTGCCAAAACCTTTGTTTGTTTGCTTGTTTGTTTGAGACAGAGTTTCTCTGTGTAACAGTCCTAGCTTTCCTGGAATGCCTTTTGTAGTTCCTTTTTTTTTTTTTTTTTGTTATTTTGGTTTTTTGAGACAGGATTTCTCTTTGTAGCCTTGGCTGCCCTGGAACTCATTCTATAGACCAGGCTGGCTTTGAACTCACAGAGATCTGCCTGCCTCTGCCTCCTGGGTGCTGAGATTAAAGGTGTGCGACACCACTGCCCAGCTGTTTGCTTTTTAATATTATTTATGTAAATGGATGTTTTGCCAGCATGTTTTAACACATGCATGTCTGGATCCAGAAGAGGCCGGAATTAGGTTTTGGATGCCCTGATGCTGGAGTTACAGTTTCCGTATAAGTGGGGCTAACAGTTGATTTCTGCCCCCTCTTCCTTTTTATGGGTTAGGGTTAAATGAAAAGAAAATTGAATCCCCTCTTTTTCCACTCATAGTCATGCGCTTGGTTTCCTTTTAATTCCATGGGAGGAAAGTATCTAACATTCAGGACTCCAGATGACAATGCGAGAAACTCAGTGTTCCATAGCTCTTTAAAGTCAGGATTTCATATTCTTCCCTGTTTACCTTTCTCTGCCTTGGAGCGTCACCCTTCTGAACCAGTGTCTTGGGATGCTTTTCCTGGTTTAGTAGGACAAGCACCATTTCTGTTTATAGTTCCTACAGCAATTGTAGTCTACCGTCTGCCAAAGAGGCCGCTGTCTTTTTGTTGTGGCTGCTGTTTCGTGTTCTTTGAGACAAGGTCCCGTGTGTCTCAGGTTGGCCTCCTGGTCCTGCTACCTCCTCTTCACAAGTGCTGGGATTGCAGGAGTTGACTCTCCTGTGTGTGTGGAGAAATGCAGGCGTGTACCACGTTTGTGCATGTGTAGAGGTCAGAAGACAACTTCAGGGATGGGTGGTCTCCTTCCTCTCCACCATGAGCAACAGGAGGAGCTGAGGTCATCGAGGTGGAGGTGGCAGTACACGCCTTTGCCTGCTGAACCACCTCATTGCCCTTGTAGACATTTATATTGCTTTTTCTCACAGGGTCTCGTTGTGTAACCCCAGACTTGCTTGGAACTCATGTAGCCACCTGGGTGACTCTCTTGCCTCGGCTTTTCCAGTGCTGGCATTACGGGCGCTTGACACCACATTGGCCTCTTGTTGCTGTTGCTTTTTAAAAATGTTGTATTCCCTCATTCGTGTGTCTGTGTATGTATGCAGCTCAGGAAACTACATGAAGGAGTCAGCACTCTCCTGCCCATGTGAGTCCCTGGGATGATGGAACTGCAGACTTGGCAACAAGGGCTTTTGCCTCCTGAGCGAGCTTGCCCGGCCTTACTTGCTTTTAAGTCGGTGCTTCAGATCATAGCCCAGATTGGCCTGCAATTTAATATGTAACCCAGACTGGCCTTTAACTCATAGCAATCCACCTGCCTCGGCCTCCTGAGTGCTTTAGATTTTAGGCATGAGCGCCACACCTAGCTGAAGCGCCTGTCTTTGGATTTATTATGGAAGCGACCACTTTAGAACCCAGTGGCCGTTGCGTGTATAATGTCTGTGAGCAGCGTGACCCGCCAGCGTCCAGCACTGCTCCCTGTGTGAGAGACTCCGCAGTATTGTCAGTGATAGATCCCCTTCTCGAGACACTTTAGCTGGGGTTGGTAGTTCCTGCGGAAGAGAAGTGCTGACTGAGGCAGTGGAGAGGCCCTGCCTAGGTTGCTTTCATATGTGTCTCTCACACTTCCTTGTTCCCTGGATCCCGTGTTCATGGAAACACACACACACACACACACACACACACACACACACACACACACACACACGTATGTGTCTCTCATACGTCCTTGTTCCCTGGATCCTGTGTTCATGGAAAAAACACACACACACACAGAGCCTGTCTTTCTGGGATTGTGGATTTCTCTTGCAAATACTGCCTGATTCAGGTTGTCCTCAGCACATGTGGGCCATATGGGAACCTTGGGCTGGTTGCTATCAGACAGCAGTTCTTTAACCATCAACCTTTTGCTCGTAGTATGTCTTTTTCTTAAAAGTTTGATATTTTTGCTTGTTTTGTTTTGTTGGGGTTTGTTTGAACAGGAGAGAAGAGAGGAAGGATGAAAGATATGTCTCACTTGATAGAGTGTTTTTCCTAGCATACATGAAGCCCCTGTTGGAGCCCTAGCACCAGAAAAACCGGGTATGGTGGTACGTGCCTATAATCCCGCCACTAGGGATGTAGATGCTTGAGTATCACATGTCTAATGTCATCCTCGGCCACATGGTGGGTTCAAGGCCACCCTGGAATACATGTGAGATCCTATCTCAAAAAACAAACACAGAAGGGCAGTTGAGATGCCTCAGCAGTGATGAAAGGTCCTCGCCATGTGTGACCCTGATAATGTAAGTTCCTAGAACCCACAGTGAAGGACAGACTACTCCTGAAAGTTGCTTTCTGACCTACATTACCCCCTCCCCACATCTGTATGTCTCTCTATCATGCACCCCTCTCTAGTATTTTTTTTTCAAGAAGGAAAGAAGGCTGGGCACGGTGGCCCAGTGGTCAGGAGGCAGAGGGACTCTGTGAGTTCAAATCCAGACCTGAGCTATATAGTGAGACCCAGTCTTAAAAACAAAACAAGGCCGGGCGCTGGTGGCGCACGCTTTTAATCCCAGCACTCAGGAGGCAGAGGCAGGCGGATCTATGTGAGTTCGAGGTCAGCCTGGTCTACAGATCGAGTTCCAGGACAGCCTCCAAAACAATACAGAGAAACCCTGTCTCAACAAACAAACAAACAGAAAATAAAAACAAAAAACAAAAAAAAAGCAAGAGGGGAAAAACAAAACAAAGCTACCTTTCCCCCAGCTCTGTTCTGTGTGGGAGAGGCTGCTTAGGCTCATTTTGGAGCCTCCATTCACCAACCCCAGTCACAACCAGGTTGTAGGAGCTGTTCTGGGAGGCAGGCCGCAGCAAACACCATGCATGGATCCAAGGGTATGAAGAGGATAGCCGTGGAGGTAGAGTTGTCTCAGAAGAGTAGTTTGGAGGCTGGAGACGAGGCACAGTTGTTAAGAGCCCTGGCTGCTCTTCAGAGAACCTGGGTTCGGTTCTCAGCACCCACATAGCAGCTCACAACTGTCTGTAACTCCAGGGCATGTGGCATCCTGACGTACATGTGTTTCCTGGAACTATAGCTTGAAGCCGGCAGCCACCCTGATGTCTGATGGACATCATTTTTCCTCCTTACCTTAAATATCTAGGTTCTTTTTTTTAATTTATTATTTATGTCTATGTTTGTTTACTTTACTTTTTGTGTGTGTATGTTTTGCCTGCCTATATGTGTGTGCACTATATGCATACAGTACACACAGAGTACAGAAGAGGACATGAGACCCATGGTACTGAAGTTACATCTCGTTATCAGCCAGGTTCTTGATCTAGCTGTCATGTCCTGTCTAGCTCTCTCAGTTGAATTGCATGTTGTGCAGAGGTCTTGTGGAGGCTTTAGACATAGCTCAGCATGGTGGCACACACCCTTAGTCCCAGCAGATAGAGACAGAGGCAGGTGTATCTCTTGAGTTCAAGGTCAACATGGTCTACATAGTGTGTTCCAAGATAGCCAGGGCCATGTAAAGAGACCCTGTCTCAAAGTAACAACAAGAAAGAGGCTTTACACAAGAATGGAACCATGGGGCAGTGGCATAGCCACTGTCTCCACATCCTGTCCTTGATTTGAAAGCCCAGGATCTGAGACTCCGCACTTAGTATGGCCCCAGAGTCCCTGGCCACCTGCCTAGGAGACGTTGGTATTGTTCTCAGTGACACTGATTTGTGTTTCTAGGAATCCCTCTGAGTCCAGAGCATGCCCCAAGTCAATCCAGCCCTGCCCAGGCAGAGCTTAAAGAAAGACAGGCACCCAAGCATCAGCAGCAAGAGGAAGCAAGACTTACTCCACCTAAGCCAGACACTGGTGAGCATGCCCCAAGTCCAGCCACCCCTGCCCAGATGGAGCCTAAAGAAAGGCAGGCACCGCAGCAGCAGCAGGAGGAAGCAAGAGTTCCTCCATCGGAGCCAGACACTGGTGAGCATGCCCCAAGTCCAGCCACCCCTGCCCAGATGGAACCTAAAGAAAGGCAGGCACCGCAGCAGCAGCAGGAGGAAGCAAGAGTTCCTCCATCGGAGCCAGACACTGGTGAGTGAGGACAAGACAGCAACATTGACATCCTCAGCACAGGAAATAGGCCACATGTTTAACTGTGCTTCATAGGCTCTGGGGAGATGGGCCTCTAAGATGGGCCTTGGAGAGGTAGGTTTAGTCTCTTTTGTGCTCAGATGTCTGAATAGCGGCCCTGTGGGGCCTGGACGTATCTGACTGTCTGGAGTAGGGAGGACAGTGGATGGCACCTGCTGGAATTTCACAGTGGCCATGTCAACATGGTGGTCTGTGTCCTACCTTCAGAGTGGCGCTAGGTTGGTATGATGCAGTTTCTCAGTGTTCTGAAAACCTGTTGAGAACTCAGACTTTTTTCACTCATCCAGGAGCCTGTGTCTGCTTCTGTTTACAGGTAGTTCCTGCTGGTCCTTTTCTGAGGCTGATTCTGAGGGGATACTGAGCCTCGTGTACTCAGCTGTGTTTATTCCTATCTTCCTCCTCCTCTTCTCTTCCTCCTCTTCCTTCTCCTTCTCCTCCTCCTCTTCCTCCTCCTCTTCTCCTCCTCCTCCTTCTTCCTCTTCTTTCCTTGTTCCCTTCCTTCTAGTGCTTTCTCTGCATTTCCCCTATAGCACATGACTTCTCCCTTCTCTGTGTTCCTCCCAGCCAGTGTGTAAGCTCAAGCTGTAAGCATGGAATTTGTGAGGTGGGACTTCAGGTAGGAGGACAGTGTCCCTGCCTGTCACAGACCTGGGACTCTGACCTGGGCCTTCCCAAACCTTCTGTTATTTTGAGGCTGATGAAGGTGACATATGTGGATGGACAGGTTGTGAGCCTGGGCCGATTTGGGATTGGGGATGTGGCCTTCATAGCTCTGTTCCTGTCTCAGAAACCCTCCAGATGGAAGCCTAAAGATCTCTTCTTCCTGGCAGGCCCTTAAGTATGTCCAGGACCTGCTGGGGAAATGGCTGTATCTCCTGTGATACTTGTGTCACAAATGGCCCTCATCTGATTCTCCCTCTCACAGGGAGTCCAGCAAGCACCAACACTTCACCAGTTAAACAGGAGGAAGGGTCTACAGAGGGAGCATTGCCACCCTCCCCTCCCACCGACAGCCTGCCTTCTGCAGGGCCAGGTGAGTGAAAGCTCCGAGGCCCGTTTCGGGGTAGCAGTCAGCCTGTGGTCAACTGGCCCAATGGCAACGGCTGCTTGAGGACATGCTGCATGTGGGGCTTGGTCTCCTAGTGGCAGGAAGACTGTTCCTGTGATCTGCTCCAGTCCCACGGTGACCCTGTGAGGTGGCATCTGGCATTTGCATGTCGACCTGTATTTAAGTGTAGGTCTTTCACCTGAGGCTCATGTTTTTCTGATAGGGCTCAGTGGCAAGACCCTTTCTTCTCTGCACCTGGGGCCACTCTCCTTACCTCAGCCTGTGCTCTCTCTCCATGGCTCTGTCCCTGCGGTTGTATTGTCTCGGTTCCGCCTCTGTATCAGGTGAGACCTGCCTGAGACCCTGCAGGAGTCACAGACTCTGGCGCATTTGTTTGGGATGAGTGACACACAGATAAGTCCTTCCTCTCCCCTCCTGTAGGCTGCACAGTCTCTCTCTCTCTCTCTTTTTTTTTTTTCTTTTTGAGATGGGGTGGCTGACTTTAAAATCACTGTGTAGCCTAGGCTTATCTGTGGCGGTTCTCCCATCTCAGCCTCCTGAGCGCTGGGCTTACAGCCACATATGACCCACAAGGCCTCTCAGTCGTGGTCTGGAAGCAGTCAGGGCCACGGGCTCTTTGTAAATGTCACCATCACAGCACTAGGGCCATGGCTGGAGTGTCACGCCCCCTAGGGTCCCACCCATCTGTCTCCCAGAATCAAATCCTGGCCTCCGCGGGGCCCCTGGCCCCTGTTGGCTTGTGCAGCTTTGTTCCTTCTCTGCTGTTATTAGCTTTTCTTCTAGGAATGAGCATAAAACAACCAATATGCCCCGTGGAGTCTGGGACCCCTGACCTGCTCTCACAGCACTCAGAAACTGGGGGAGGGAGAAGCGGCCTGAACCTGGATCAAGACCTGAGACAAATGTTGAGGGGAGCCATGCGGTCCTCTTGGAACTAGTCATGATTCCTTTGCCAGGTGGTGGTGCCGTGGCCATCAAGACAGAAGCCCTGTCTGAGGATGAACCTGAGCAACGCCTTCTGGAGTTCCCCAGCCAGTCCATGTATCGAGTCCACAAAAGACCCAGGAGCAGGACTGAAGACCCCGGCCGGGATCATGCCCAGGAAGTGTCTAGGCTACACATCAGGGAACCCCAGGCAGCAGACGTGGAAGAGCCACCCCGTGTCCTTCCTCGACAACGGCAGCAGGCATTCCCGTGCCCTGACTGTGGGCAGACCTTCCGCTTGAAGATTAACCTGACTATCCATCAGCGGACCCACGGGGACGAGGGACACAGGGAGGAGGTCCCGAGTGACTTGCCTGCTGAGTCAGGAGATAGCCGCTCCACACTGGAACCAGGGGAGGTGGTGGTGCCTGGCCCGGTCATCCGCTGGCTCCCTAGGGATCCCGCAAGCCACCGCTCCCTGGGACAGAGGTCAGCAGCTAGGGTTTACCACTGTAGTGAGTGCCTGCGCTCCTTCCAGCGGCGGAAGACCCTGATACTTCACCAGCGTCAGCACACAGGCAGCAGGCAAGGCTGGCCCGCCTGTCCCTTCTGCGGCAAGGCCTTCCGCCGGCCTTCGGATCTCTTTCGTCACCAGCGCATCCATACTGGTGAGCGTCCCTATCAGTGCCCCAAGTGTGACTGGGCCTTCAACAGGAACCACCACCTGACTGTCCACATGCAGACCCACTCCTGAGGCCGGGCTGGCCTGCATTTCCTCAAGTCCTCTGTCCACGTGGGGAGCCCAACCCTGCAAGGTCCCCACCCTGACAAGGAAGGAGGAACCTTCCATGCCTCCCTCTGGTACCCCTGAGTACCCTGGCAGGATCCTTTCTGCCTGACCTGACACTGGTCCCTCGTTCTGGGATGGCTTTGGAGAGTCTTTCTGGCTTTGTTTTCCATTCAGATGGGGAGAAGTCGCCCTTTTGGTGACCTGGTTTTCTCCTTGCTTTCAAGTCTGGGTCTCATCTCTTCTTTGCTGACCTTGTGCTCTTCCCCCCGGGCAGACTCCTTCAGGAAGGACCTTTCTCTTTTGCCAGGTGGCAGTTCCTTCAGGTTCTAGAAAGTGAGACTTTCTAGCTGAGCTGGTGCTTCAGGGGTCCTTCAGAAACACAGGCTGAAGACACAGCGTCAGACCACACAGTCTTGAGGACGGCTGGCTCAGTGAGCCTCGTTGCCGCACCATGCTGGCCCGTGGTTTGCTCTCGTCTGGCGCTCAGACACCGGGGCACACTCAGGAGGGCCCCCAGGTTCTTCCTCTGGCTGTGCTATTTCCTGGTGTCCTTCAGACTCTTGCCTCTCAAAAGTCCTGAACAGATGAGGCAGAGGGTAGCACTGCCATCATTCCCCCGGACCAGGGACAAGTAAGCAAGCCTATGGCCGTTAACCATGCTTCTGCATCCTATGTGCCTGCTCACCCCATTGTTGTCTGAGCCCTCTGAAGCAAGACAGCAGCTGTCAGTAAACACTCAGACAGGACGTACACCGTGTATCTGTCTCAAGCATAATACTCAGCTTGCAAGAGCTCACTGCTGCTGTTCTAGAGGCTCAGGGCTAAGGTTCCTAGGCCTCTTTTCTAATGCTAAATGCTCCCTGGAATCAAGTACTCTACATCTGAAGCACAGCTATAGCTGGGGAAGGTGGTGCTGTGTAACCCTAGTTGATCCTGGGCTTGAGTGACTATTTCCTCTACTTCCAAAATGCTAAGCTTTACCTGCCTAGGTCATCATGCCCAGCTGGGCTTCAGTGGGACACGTTGAAAGGTGTTTTGAGTTAAAAGTGAACGAAGGCTGCTTGTTTCAGGAGCCCAGCTATGGGTTCCAGACCCTTCTGGCTCCCTCATTTTTAAAACAAAGAAATGGTTGGGCTGTACGGCTCTAGGAACTATGAAGGTGGCAATCTTAGCCTAATAGGTGCTCTATAAACACGTTGCTTAAACTATGTGCTTGTGGCCTAGTTTGTACTGGTGACCCCAGCGGTTTGCTTGGTTCAGCACAGGTGGGGTTCACCTGGCGCTCACACCTGCGGGGCGGAGACAACGCGCCGGGCGCACGCCGTGGAGCCGGTGCTTGGGCTCGCCAATGGAGTCTGGGCTCTGCAGCTAGGGGGCGGAACCTCCAAGGCCAGCCAATGGGGAGCCTGCGTGCGGCGGGTGGGGCCTGCGATCCAGTCGCGGGAGCAGTGGACCGGCAGCTGAGACCACGGCTCTGCATACTCCGTCTCCAGGCTATTTGCCCCGGACTGCCTGAGTCTGGTGCGTGTGGGCCAGGAAGGGCCGTATTGTAGGGAAGATTACAGAGGCGATTCTGGGACGAGGCAGCACCGCGCGCAGCCATGACCGAGGCGGCCGCTGCTCCGGTAAGGGCGATCCGCATCGACCATGTGGGGGATGCGAAACGGCTCCTTAATTTGCCGGGAAGACATTTTACCACCTCCTGAAATTGGGTAGAACTCAAACCAGGGTCTCAGGGAGGAGGAGGGGGAGGACGCTTATGCCCACAGGATAAAGCCCTTGTCTCTTGTCCGGGTTTTGATTACTCGTAAACACAAGCCAATTGAGGTTAACCAGGAAATGCCTGGGCCCGATGCACCAGCTGTGGACGTTTTAACACTACATGACTCCTTTTCGGGGATCTCTCCCCTCCTACCCCCCGCAATTATTGGCCATCTATTCCCGAGCTAAGGCCCTTCCAGCTAACCCTCTTGGTCCTGGGAGCTATAATCTTGTCCCTGCCTACGGGGATCCACGTCCTTTCAGGCTTGAATTCGATTCTATTCAGGGTGGATGCATACATCCTCCCCTTCTATTACCCAATAACCCACAGGGAGACTTCATTACTGCAGCTGGTGTGTGTGTGTCTCGGAGGGAGGGGGGAATCATCACTATAGAAGACGTTGGTTAGGTGTGCGTGTTTTAGGGCTCAGGCTTGACCTTATTGCCTTTCAACTCGTGTGAGTGAACTGCTGAAATAATGTCTCTGAAAGGAGAGATCATCTGCTAGCAATAGCTTTGCAGTGACTTCAAAGACATTTCCAGGTGCCAGGCTTGTGGCAAGGGTCACAGAGAAACGGAGATATTTGCTCCTTATCTGTGGAGACTGTTTGCCTCCCCCTGCCATATTTTGTTGTATGGATGGGTGGTCAGACCCCAGGATGGCTCGGTGGAGCTGCAATAAAAGGGGGGAAGGGATAGGTATCGGTGATAAGTATCTAACTGTGTGGGGGCACTTTACTGTATCTTTTTATAGACGATGTCTTGGGAAAGTTTAGTGCCACAGAATTTGATTAATTGCAGCCTTTGGTGTATAATATACAGAACATTCTGGTCATTGGTCTGAAACCTTCATGTTTATTAGTAATACAGTATAAGGGAATGTCATACACTCTGAGTGCTTTTTCATGCCTGTAGCTTTTTCATCCTTTACCACCTAAGAGATAGGAAAGTCACGATGTCCTCATCATTGAGAACACAGAGGCTTAGGAGAATAGTGTATCTTTACCTCAGACTGCTCAGAATTCAGCTCTGGAAGAGACCCACTCCCGGACATATCTGCTGTCCCCACAGAGGAACTCCTTGCTCTTTGTCTTACTATTTACAGTTATGCCTGATACATTGTCCACCACGAGACAGGGTATATTCTTAGTGGTATTTCCTTTTGACCAAGAAGCTGACTTTTCAGCTTTCTCTGGCTCCTGCTTACTGGCAGCTAAGATCTAGCCCTCCAGTGTAGTGACTGTTCAGGGGCTGGTTGATGAGGAACTCAGTCACAGAGACCTCGTGTCCAAGTTAACACAAGAGGAGGGAACCTCAGCTGAGAAAGTGCCTCCGTTGGATGTGGCTGTCTGTAGACAAGCCTGTAGGGCATTTTCTTAACTAGCATTTGATGTGGAACTGCCCAGCCCATTGTGGGTAGGCCACATCTGGGCTAGTGGTCCTGAGTTCTCTAAGAAAGCAGGCTGAGAAATGACAAGCCACCAAACAGCACTCCTCTATGGCCTCTGCTTTAACTCCTGCCCATTTTGAGTTCCTGCCCTGACTCACTTCAGTGATACACAGTGAGATGGAAGGGTAAGCGAAATATACTGTTTCCTAGTCAAGTTGGTTTTGGTCATGGTGTTTCATTGCAGCAATAGAACCCCTAACTAAGACACCCAGTATCTCAGGCAGGTCAGGGATTCACACTGTGTTAGAGGAGTCACACAGTGACTGCATCAGAGGAGTCATACAGAGATCACTGGGGTCAGAACAGCCTCACTTTGGGGGAAGCTGCTGTAAAGAGGAGTTGAAGGTGCTGGTGGCGCACTCCTTTGATCCCAGCACTTGGGAGGCAGAAGCAGGTGGATCTCTGAGTTCAAGGCCAACCTGGTCTACATATCAAGTTCCAGGACAGCCAAGGAGATATGGAGAAACCCTGGGTAGAGGTGGAGGTGGGAGGCTGAGGTTGCTATTAGGCATGCAGGTTTTGTGTCCTTGCTGTTGGCCTGTGTCCCTAGGGGAAGAAAAGGTTAAGTAACTGATGTAAGTAGAAGAGCAGTGTGGTCGGGGTTTTCTCTGGGCTACCAGCCAGCTCCCAAATAAAGACATGGAGACTTATTATGAATGCTTGGCCTTAGCTTAGATTTCCCCACTAACTCTTTTAACTTAACTTGTTTCTATTCATCTACATTTTGCTTCAGGGCTTTTACCTTTCTTTCATTCTGTGTGCCCTGTTTTCCTTCTTCCTCTGTGTCTGGCTGGCCCCTGGCACCTCCCTTGTGTCTCTTTTCTTCTCCCTGAGCCTAAATTCCTCCTCCTACTTACTCTCCTGTGGTAAAGTTCTACCTCTACCTCCTCCCTTGCTATTGGTCGTTCAGCTTTTTATTAGACCAACCAGGTACCTTAGGCTGGCAAGGTAAAACAGCTTTTGCATAGTTAAATATTCCACAGCAGAGCAAGATTAAATCCGGCATACATTTGAATGCTTACTATTTTATTTCCTATTGCAACGGGTGTAGGTGCAGTATTCTTCCCATGAAGGTTCTGTGGGGTCTAGGGTTTGTTGTCTTTGACTGGGATGTAGCCAGTGAGAAGTCTGAACCCATTCCAGCAGATCTGTTTTATTTATAGATTTATTAATAACAGTGAAGATATATTTATTATCATCACAAACATTTAATTATACTCTTATCCTCATCATTTATTGTTATCATCTGCATTAACCACTCTATAAGAGGAGCACACTCAAATGAATGAGGACTTCCAGAGCTAGCTTCTGGGTCCAATTGAATTCACATTCTATCTTTTGTTTTGTTTTCGAGACAGGGTTTCTTTGTATCATTTTGGAGGCTGTCCTGGGACTCGCTCTGTAGACCAGGCTGGCCTTGAACTCACAGAGATCTGCCTTCCTCTGCCTCCCGAGTGCTGGGATTAAATGTGTGCGCCACCACCGCCAGGCTTCCAATAGATCTTGAGAACAGTTCTTGGCCTTTCTCTAGAAGCTAACCCATCTCTTTATCTTTGGTCACAGGACTGGCATGTGGGGACTGACCTCCAACAACAGGCCCAGATCCAGTCTGCAGAGATCTCTCTTCTAGCCATCCTGGCTGCTGTTCAGGCTGTGGAGAAGAAAACAGAGTCCCAGGCTGTCCATCTTCAAAACCTGGAAATACGAACAGGGTCGACTGAGAAGAGGCTGGCTGACTTTGAGAAGACAGCCATGGAGCTTAGCAGCCAGCTGGAGGGCAAGTGGGCCGTGCTGGGGACCCTGCTGCAGGAGTACGGGCTGCTGCAGCGGCGGCTGGAGAACCTGGAGAACCAGATGCAAAACCGGAACTCCTGGGTCCTGAGGCTGCCCGCCAGCAGCAAGGATGAAGCCCCCAAGGTATTCAGAGTGAAGGGAGGCCTCCAGTGTAGTCACAATCGACCTTAAGGATCTTTTTAAAACTTCAAAAGGAGAGTGAGACATTGGAATGGTGCCTGCTTAGGCGGCAGAGTGAGTTTTTGGGAAGGATATATTTGAGCAGCAGCAGTTGTCTTATTCTAGAATGACCCTTTGTTTGTTTGTTGTTTTCAATTGAATAGAATTGTTTTGTCAGGTGGTGGTAGCACACACCTTTAATCCCAACAGGGGCAGGTAGATTTTTGACCCAGTCTACAGAGTACCAGGATAGCCAGGGCAACACAGAGAAACCTTGTCTCAAAAAAATTGTTTTCATACATTTTGATTATGCTTTCTCCTCCCCCAGTCCTCCAGATCCTTCCTATCTCCCTACCCACCCAAATTTACATTCGTTTTCTCTCTCTTTAAAGAACAACAGCGGGCTCAGAGGTTAAGAGCTCTGCTCTTCCAAAGTTCAGTTCCCAGCAACCACATGGTGGCTCACAACCATCTATAATGAGTTCTGGTGCCCTCTTCTGGTGTTCATACATACATGCAATGCAGGCAGAATACTGTATATATATATATATAATAAGTAAAAATTTAAAAAATAACAACAACAAAAAACAACAAACAGCTGGGCAGTGGTAGTGCATGCTTTTACTCACGGCATTTAGGAGCAGAGGCTAGCCTGGTATATACATCAAGTTTCAAGACAGGCTCCAATGCTACATGGAGAAGCCCCGTCTCAAAAAAAAAAAAATCCACAATGATAAAAATGGCAAGACAATACAGAGAAACCCTGTCTCGTAAAACCAAAAAATAAAAAAATAAAAATCGGATACCAAATATACAAGCAAAAGACTAAAAAGACAAAAACATGTCCAAACAAAGCAACATTAAACAAAGTATAAAACTACCATTGAGTTTATTTTATGTTGGTCAGCTTCTACTGGACACAGTGCCTGCTACGACATATGGCTAATGTGCCCAGTGAGAAAACGGCTTTTTCCTTTGCCATCTGCTATCAGCTGCAGATAGTTTCTTAGTTAGGGGTGGGACTTCCATCTGCCCTGAACCTGCACAGGTCATGTGTACGCTACCAATCCCTTTGAGCTCATTCGTGCATTAATCTTGCTGTGTCTGGAGGTCGCTGTTTCCTTGGAGTTGTCGTCACCTCTGGTTCTGATAGTCTTTCTTCCTCCGTTTCCACATAGATCCCTGAGCCTTGAGGGGACGGGGTTGATAGAGACATCCCATTTAGAACTGAGCGCTCCAAAGTCTCACTCTGCACGTTGTCCCATTGTAGGCCTCTGTTAGCTCCCACCTACTAAAGGAAGACGCTTCTCTGATGATGGCTGAGTGAGGCACTGATGTGCATCTCAGTCTGGTGTATCCCCTGGGGGTCTTTGGGTAGAAAGTGTTTGAGTATGGGCCGCTGACACAAAGGAATGGAAATGGTGTAGAAGGGAGGCCCCAGAATGACTGTTTGAGAGCGATGACCGGTTCAGGTAGAGGAGATCTACAGAAAGCATCCTCGTTCAGCTTCCAGCAGAAGATGCAGGTGTGTCCAGGAGCTGGGAGGATGCTTTCCTATGGAAATGTGGTGGGCAGAAGCTAGCATTTGGTCAGTGGTGTCACAATTTCAGAGCCGTTTCTGGCTGGTCCTCTGAAGGGGTGTGGGATTTGCGTTCCTCCAGGTTTCTGTGATGACTGAAGAGGTGGCTGGGTGTTTCCCCGAGCAACAAGAATGCAGCCCGGAAGACTGGCAGAAGGAACTCTGCAAGCATGTAGCGAAAGAGAACCATGAGGTGCTAGGCTCTCCGGGTAAGAGACCACCCCAAGGGCTTCCAAATGTGTTTTCATTATTTTCCTCGGTGTGTGGAGACTCTTGGATCTGAGAGCCAGAGAAGATTGGTCCTCCGTCTTAGAAGCCCTTAATTCCCATCTTTAGAATCAAATATAGGTCTGCTTCTGTCTTGTATGTATGGGTCCTTTTGCCTGGGTGTGTGTTTGTGCATCATATGCATGCCTGGAGCCTGCAGAGGCCAGAAGAGGGCATTGGATCCCCTGGAACTAGAGTCATAGGTGGTCGGGAGCTGCCATGTATGTGCTCAGAATCGAACCTGGGTCCTCCAGGAGAGCATTCAGTGCTCTTAACCGCCAAGCCATCTCTGTAGCCCCATTGGGCATGTTTTGTAAAGGTGTCTCAGGTCTGAGAATTGAGGGCTAGCAGTAAACACTAGGTCCTCCTGCCAAGTGTGCAGAAGTGTGTTTTTATGTGAGACTTGATTAGACCTAGAATTTCATGGCTGCACCCTCAGCTCTTTCGTCACCCTGGGGCTTGCAGAAAGGTTAAATCGCCTATCCGGGGCTTCAGTGGAGACACACCGATTAGAATCTACTCTTCACTGTCCAGTTCCTCCCAGTTCATTTCTGTAGAGTGGAGGCTTCCCCTACATTATGTTTGTCCCCTAGGACTTAGTCTGTATCTGTGGCTGCTCCTATTCCACCACTGGATCTTGATCATCAGTCCAGGAGCTGTGGAGAGGGTCAAGGGCGAGGCGGATGAGGCCCTATATCTGCCATGGCCCAGCTCTGTACCCTGCTTCCTGAGGGTGTGCTCTCTGCAGGGAAGGAGCTGAGGCTTAGTTGGATGTGTCCCTTCCACACTGTGCCTGGCATGTGCTAGGGGTTAAACAATGAGTGAGGGCTCAGTTTCCATTCTCTCTCGGGAATAGCACCCAACTGGAATGGAGATTGCAAAGCTGTAATTCTAGGGGAGCTCCCTCCCACTGAGTTACAGCTCCTGCCTTTTTCCCTTATCTGACAGGGTCTTACTATAACCCAGGCTGGCCTGGAAGTTACTGGGTAGCTCCCGCCGGCCTTGAACTCGAGCCTCCTACCTCAGCCTCTGGAGTATTGGTGTTGTAAGTGTGAACCACCCTGGCTTTTTGAAAGGTGAAGAAACCCATAGTTAAATGAAAGACAACAGAAGGGACCACTCTTAACCGAAAGGGGATAGATTTCCCTGTGATGTTAGATCCCCTAGAAATGAAGTTAAGAGTCGGTCGTGAGCGTCCCCATGTAGGTGCTGGGAACCAAACCCAGGTTCTCTAATAAGAACCCTTTTTCTTGTTTTTAGATGTTTACTATATTCGAGGAGAAAAGCCCTCATTAGAAGGAGTCTCTTTGGGTAGATAAATTAAGGACAAACACATTGAATGGCTGGCAAGTTGCGCTGAGGTTAAAAGTATTTTGGGGTCCCCGCAGGAGTAGGGATACCACAGAGAGGGCAGAGTGCCAGGATACAGAAATCACCCAGTAATGCTTGGGGAGTTATAAAGGGCCAGGAGGGCTTGCTTAGTGAGTGGGCTTCCCCTTCCTGTGGTACAGTGAGGGGACCTGGGACCCCAAGGCAGGTATGGTCAGGAAGCAGATGCAATCAGAGGCCGGGCTTGGCTGGCATGTCCCTGGAGGTGCCTGCGCAGCTTTGGCATGCTCTGGAATGTGGTGTCCTTGGGGGACTTAGGACTGCCGAGCCTTGGATAGTCCTTGCTGTCTTAGTTTCTCCACTGTCATTTGGTGTAAGTTTGCTTTGTTTTCTAGAAGTTTCCAAAGGCAGCTCTTCTCCATATTACCAGACCACAGGCGCCTCCAGAACAATGGAATGCTGACCCTGTATTTCCAGGTCAAAACCTAGAACAATACTGAGTCTGTGGTTGGTAGCTAGACAGCGGTGGCTTGAAATGGCCTCCACTTTTTGTTTTAAGTTTCTGACATTTATTGGGGGGAGAGGAATGCATGATGCGTTGTGGCTGAGGTGGCATGTGGGGCTTAGAGACTGGCAGACTAGTGAGGTCACTTGACCCTCGATGGACACCTGCTCTAAGGTACTGTGTTTACCTAAGCTGCCACACAGAGACTGATAAAACCCACACCCGAATACTTCAGTAACAGCTTAGACAAGATGGTTTCTCACTCCTGACAGGCTTGTTTGGCAGCTCAAGGTGTCACAGATTCAAGTGTCTTTAACTTGTTGCTCTGCCTTTCCTAGGGAGTAAGTAGCCTTGCCACTGCAGATCAAGGTAACAGTTAGGAAGGAGGAGCTGGGCATGGTGGCGCACACCTTTAATTCCAGCACCCAGGAGGCAGGAGAGGGAGAACTTTGTAAGTTAGAGGCCAGCCTGATCTACATAGTGAGACCCTGTCACAAAAATTAATAGGAGCTGAGTGTGGTGGCACACACCTTTAATCCCAGCCTGGTCTACAAAGCCAGTTACAGGACAGTCAGAACCACTTAGAGAAACTCTGTCTTGAAAAACAACAAAAAGCTAGTAGGAAGGAAAGGTTTGCCTTTTTCTCTTAGTATAACAATACATTTATTTCCAGTTTACCAAGCAAAGTTAGCGCTCATGTACTATAAAATATTGATCCATTTAAATCTCTTGTAGGTTTTTGTATGCATAGATGAAGATACTAAGCCATAGAGGCTAGATAAACTGTCAGATTGTGTAGCTGGAAAAGTCTGAGCCTTTATTTACATCCTGTCATCTGCTTGAAGACGCGTTCTAGAAACATGGCCTGTGTTCTACGGGGATCTGCAGAAGGGGGGCTGGTTGTAGTGATAAAACGCAGCTGGCCCTCGGTCAAAGGCTGCCACTGCTCATTCAGAGGCCGTGCACCCCTGCTGTCCTGACTTAGTCTTACAGAAACCCCAGTATGTACTGGCTCTGCTGAGTTTCTGTGGCCACTGGTCCTGGATAGAGGCCATCACAGGAAAGAGGCCATGACATCTGATGCCCCCGGGGCTTCTTCTCTTTTCCTTAGAAGCGGGGCAGCTGGAATCTGCCCCGAGTGTTCTTCCCTGGATCAAGCAAGAGGAAGAAGCCTATGAGAAGACCCTGCGGGAGACGACCAGTGCGTATCTGTGCTCAGGTGAGGCCCAGGGCAGGCTGCATATCTGGGTCTCTGAACATCCCCGGGGGGGCGGCTTCTGTATTTGCGTCTGGAAGTGGCAGCCGGCAAGTATCCTGTGTCGTCTTCGTGCTGTGGACATCCTCCCACGAAGTTATATGAAACGGTCACTTTGTTCCCACGGTACCCTGGCTCTGGGGCTGACAGATGCAGAGGACACAATTCCCCACCCCACAAGGGCTTTTCAGATAAGACAAAGGCAGCCCCAAATTAACAGTGCAACGTAAGAGGAGGAGACCATGTCTGAGCCAGAGAGCCCTCTGAGAATGACGAAAACTGGACAGCATCCTCAAGAAGGCGCACTTAGAATGTATTTACAGGTGAAGGCCTTCTGTAATCAGGGTGTTGCTGGTGATGGGGGCTCTCTCATCCATGGTCTCGGTGGCACAGACCGGGGCTGTCGGGAGCTGGGCTTGGGAGGCTGGAGAAGAGACCATTAGCAGAGGCACACAGCTTAGCTGCAAGGGCGTGTGGGTGAAATGTCGATGGGACAAAGTGGGAGGTAGGTAGGTTAGGACCAGAATGAGGGCCTTCAGTGACAAGCTCATGTGAGCCTCAGGACTTCTATACCAAAGAACAGGGGGGATCAGAGCCTGCGGCAGACATGACTCACTGCTGTCTCTCCTCCCACCAGAAGCCTGGCTGGCTAACAAGAGAAGGAACCTGGAAGGAGAGTCGGAGGTCCAGGAGCCAGCCTGGGCCACTGAAGGGAGACCCCACAAAGAGGACCTTGAGAGAAGGGCCTGTGGGGACCTGCTCCCTGTCTTCAGAGAGAGAGAGGTGTCCTCCCTCCCCCGAGGCTCTCCGAGTCAGCCTGTGCCCGCTGCGGAGGGCACTGACTTCGTTGTCAAAGAGCCCAGCCCCGAGTCCGAGCCCCCACACCATGGATCTCACCCCCTTGCCAGTCTCCAGTGCCCCCAGAGTGCCACACAGCAGGCCACGCCTACCAGGAACCCCCGTGCACCCACGGCCCAGCGCGCCCACACCTGCGTCCAGTGTGGCAAGAGCTTTGTCCACCAGTCAACACTTACCACGCACTACCGCACGCACACCGGGGAGAAGCCTTACAAATGCGCCGAGTGCGAGAAGCGATTCGGCCGCCTGTCCACACTGCTGGAGCACCAGCGCACCCACACCGGAGAGCGGCCCTTCCCGTGTGCGCAGTGTGGCCGCCGTTTTGGGCGCCTGTCCACACTAGTGGAACACAGGCGCACCCACACGGGTGAGAAACCGTTTCCCTGCACCCAGTGCGACAAGCGTTTCACACGCCTGGCCAACTTGACGGTGCACCAGAGCGTGCACTCGGGCGAGCACGCCTTCCAGTGTGCCCAGTGTGGCTCATGCTTCACTCACAAGCCCAGCTTCCTGCGACACCTGCGCAGCCACTCTCAGGAGAAGCGCTTCAGCTGTGGCCAGTGCGGCAAGAGCTTCACCTGTCGCTCCTGGCTGGCGCGCCACCAGAGCAGTCACGCCCACTCAGCCTCCTCTGCTTCTGAGTCACCAAGCTGTGAGTCATCTGCAGGTCTCCCTAAAGGTTCTGTCTCATTCAGATCCAAGGACGCCAAGGCCAGTCAGGACCACAAGGCATACGGCAGAGGTCAGCAGCTCAGTGACCACGGCCAGGAAGGTCTGCATAGCTGTCTGCCTGTCAAGATGGAGAATGCAGGGTAGCATCCAGAGAGTTCCGTGGTGAGGCCACACAAGGCTTCTGGGTCCCTTTGATCTAAGCTGCCTCTCCTAAGGTGCCCTTCCTGGTTCAGATGTGTGGTACCTGCCACCTGCTAGGCTCCCCAGGGAAAGGTTTGCTGCAGGTACTAAGTGGCCCTGAGATTCTTACTGCAGGGAATGTTCCTGCACTGTAAAATGTTGCAGAAACAGAGTCATCATCTCAGCAGTTTAGGCAGCAACATGGGCTGTTTACCCAAAGGTGGCTGGCCGGTTAGGAATGCTACAATTTTGAAAAGGTGAGTTACTCTGCCTCTGCCTGAGCAACTCAAACTTGTTTCCAAGATTTCCCTAGGACAGGACTGGGAATGTGACGCAACGGAGTATTCATATAGCAGGCATGGATGGAACCATGGTTAGATCCCCAGCACCAAATCACACTGGCCTTGGTGTACATACCTGTAATCCTAGCAGTCCTGTTAATGCAGGAGGATCAGAAGCTCAAGGTCAGTTTGGCTACATGTGTCCCTGTTTGAATAAAATATCCTTCGGGAGTTCACAGCCACCCCATCTCTATCACCAGTCGAATAACCGCATGTGTGTTCCCGAGGACCCCCGCCGAGGGACTGGAGCTCTGTGTCACTATCCCCACTTTGGAGGAATGTGGGTAAACAGAACTGTGCTGCTTACTGTGCCCTCTGGGCTCTGTCTGCATCTGGTGGTGGTTTTTACTGAAAAATCTGAGATTTCACATATTCACTTAAAACCTATAAATAAAGGTATTTATGAAGAACGATAAACTTCCCTTCTTGCCCTGATGATCCTGCCAAAGTTGGTTTGTTTTGCAGTAATATTATTTGGCTCCAGACCTGGGTAATAGTGATGAGTTCTTTTCAACTGTGTGCCCATGTTGAAGTTCTGAAAGACATGATGCAAAACACCACGGAGGCAGGCTTGGGGTGGGGCAGGGTGGTTTTGCCTGGAGTCTAGGCCATAGCAAGCACACCTGCCTGCAACTCCCCCCCTTCCCCTCTAGTATGCATGGAGCTGTGGGTTTGATGCATGCCGAGAACCATATAAGCCGGTGACAACGGCATACCCCATAATCCCAGCAGTTGGCATGTGGGCAGAATTATCAGTTCAAGTTCATCCTTAGTTACATAGGGAATTCAAGGCCGGCCTGGGCTACTTGAAACCCTGTCTTCGAAAACAAAATCCTGAAGCCAGCCTGGACGACATAATTAGACCATCTCAGAAAAGAAAGGAAAAAAAGTCTTACGTAACGGGAACTGAATGATTAAAAACTGGAAGTGCCTGGGGATAGGTGGCAGGAAAGACTCTGGTCCTGTGCGGAAGCGTATCGAGACGCTTGGGGATCTGTGAAGAGAACAGGCCCTGTGTCTGAAGCTGTGGAGCTGGTGATTGAAGGAGAAGTCTTTCCCGCCTCTGTTTCTTGGATCTGCCCAGAAACGAGGAAGTCCCGTGCAGCCAGCTGTCACTACCTCGGACTAAGGCCAACGCCGTTGCCATGCTGTCCTCACCACGATAGACTGCACGTTCTTACACTTTGAACTAAAGTAGATCCTTCCATTAGATTGCTACTGTAGACGTTCCGCCAGAGCATCACAAAAATGAGTACTATATTCCCCTTCTGCTCTTTTGTTATTTAGATATTCTGGGACCTGAAGCTCCTGTCTCTCTGCCTGTGAGTGGTAGGATTATTGTGAGGAACCATTCTTGAATTCACTGTCTACTCTGACCCTTCCTATTTTCCTTATTCTGGCTTATGTTTCTCCATAGCTCTTTGTCTGACCTACAGTCATTTGATTATTTTCCTTCTCGACAAAATACACAAGGCTGGAACTTTTTGCTCCTGAACAAAACTTCCTGGCATGCCTTAGATGATTACCACATATTTCAGTGAGTACACAGATACTTAAAAGTGTTATAAAAACACTGAGCGTGGTGGCGCATGCCTTTAATACCAGAATTCCAGAGGCCGAGGCAGGCGGATCTTTGTGAGTTTAAGGCAACCTGCCCTACCTATTGCATTCCAGGCCCAACCAGAGCTACACAATAAGACCTTGCCTCAAAAAACTCTGAAAACTGCCAAAGTCAAGGTAAACACTTGGGGTGGTTATAAACAGAAAAATTATATCTCAAAAGAAAGCTATAGTATACCTTATATTCAATCGTGGCTCATTATTCTCAAGTTATTTTTAACTCATCTAGTTTCTTTTAATATTTTTTTCACAAGTCTAATTCCCTGTTGTCATCTGGTTGGCTTAGTTGGTTAACTTCAGGCTTGAGTTCATAATTGGAAACCATTATACAAAACAGGACTGTCAATATTCTGTTACAATGTCCCTTTTAAAGATAGATACCTGTTACCCATCGAATTTCTATAGAAATGGAATTAACTGAATAATGTTGGTCCAGTGCTTTGAAATGGAGCAGTTAAACTCACCAAGGGCCATTTCTTTTAAACTGTTACTCAGAAATGGCCAAGGGAGTCATGATGGGCTGGAGAGATGGCAGTGGTTAAAAATTTTCAGACGGACCTGGGTTTGATTCCCAGAACCCATATGGCTGCTCACACCTTGTCTGTGACTCCAGTCTCTGGTTCCAGGGGATCTGATGTTCTCTCTGGCTTCTGTAGGCACCAGGCACGTTAGTGGTACACGGGTATACATGCAGACAGAACACCTATAAACATAAAAAATATTCTCTTAAAAAGCGTCTTGAGACTGATGGTATACACCTTTAATCCCAGAACTCAGAAGGCATAGACATGTGTGTCTCCGAGTTCAAGGGCAGCCTGGTCTATACAGTGAGTTCTAGAACAGCCAGGACTTCGGTAAGACCCTGTCAGATGGGAAGGGGTCAAAAAAAAAAAAAGACAAAAACCCCACTTAACTATAAGTAACAGGATTTAGTAATACTTTGGTGAAATGATCACAATCAAGAAGCAAAAATAAACCAAGCATGGTGGCAAATACATGTAATCCCAGAAGCAAGATCAGGAGTTCCAGGCCAGCTTCAACTAAAAAGTAAATTAAAGATCAGCCTGGCTATATGAGACCTTGTTTCGAAAAGTCCAAGGAAACCTGTGATATACACCTTTAATCTCAGCAGTTAGGAGGGAGAAGCAGGGGACTCTGAGTTCAAGGCCAGTTTGACCTACATATCAAATTCCAGAGCAGCTAGGACTGCATGGTGAGACCCAGTCCCTTTTTGTTTTTCCAGACAGGATTTCCCTGTATAAACCTGGCTGGCCTCCAATTCAGAGATCCGTCTGCCTCTGCCTCCTGAGTGCTGGGATTAAAGGCGTGCGCCACCAGGCCTGGCTTAAGACCCAGTCTATAAAAAAGAAAGTAGGGAAGTACTTCAAAAGCTGTTGATGAGATGGAGGCTGGAGGTCCTGGGGAGCAAGGTGTCATGTTGGTATGTCTGGGCCAAGGGCAACTGCAAAGATTGCCCTGAAGATCCTAAGCATGTGCCTGTGGTGCTGAGTCAGCGCAGCACAGGGAATCCTTCAGGTGCTTGGCACTGATTTGGTTTTGTTTATGTTCACCCGTCTCCGGTAATAATGCACTATGCACTGGTAGTTTATCTCCTTTCTCTGAAGGTGTTAATGCACACATGTACATCATACATACATACATACATACGCACACACACATACACACACACACTCTTCTAAACAATACACCTAATAACTGCAGAATTCCTCAGGCCCCCACCTGCATTAAGCTACACCCCTCATTAACATTAGTATAAGTCTCTCCACACCTAACAACAACCAAGTGTGTTCTTAGTATATCCGGATAGGAAAAATGGATGGGCCAGTCCAGCCTAGACTGGTTTTGGGTGTGTGATGGCTAAAGAAACTATTTTATTCTAGGCATCTGTGGCAGTTTGAATGTAATTGGCCCCCATCATTTCAGAGCGTGGCACTATTAGGAGGTGTGGCTTTGCTGGAGTGGGTATGGCCTTATTGGAGGAAGTGTGTCATAGTAGGGCGAGCTTTGAGGTTTCCTATGCTCAGGATACCCCACCCAGTGTTTCAGTCGATTCCCTGTTGCCTGTAAGATGTAGGACTCTCAGCTACTCCTCCAGCACCATATCTGTCTGCTCGCCACCATGCTCCCTGCCATGATGATAATGACTGAGCCTGTGAACTGTAAGCCACCCCAATTAAATGCTTATAGGAGTTGCCATAGTCATGGTGTCTTCTTCACAGCAATAGAAACCCCATGGCAACACCCACCTTGGTACCCACTAGCCATTTGTCTCTGACTCCAGTCCCTGAAAGATAAGTTCCCAGTAACCCTGATTCAGTGACCCCACCCAAAATCATACCATCTACTTGTTATATGACCAACTGCACTTTTGGCTTCTGTAACTTGCCTAATCAGATACCCAAAGATTGTTTTGGGTCGCTTAACTTGGCAGAACAGACCAGTTTTTGCTTGTTTGCATAGATATTGAAGGTCGTCTTGTAGTTTTCCCCTTTAAAACCCCATCCCTCATCCCTCTCTTAAAGTAATCTCGAATTTAGTTCAGAGATTTTTTTGTCCTCCTAGCAGCTAATCAATAAATCTTTATTATAATTAGATTGAGTCTATGGTCTTTTCCCAGGGGGTCACAAACTTGTTAACAGGTGCTTGCACAGTAAGGCAATCTGCATCCTTCAGGTGAACTGTTATGGAGACTCTCCTATTTACCATCCTATATGTATGCACAATTGGCAACATATGATTAAAAATCAGATGCATGTCGAGGCTGGGCTGGACCGATAGCCTCCAAAACAATACAGAGAAACCCTGTCTCGTAAAAACCAAAAAAAAAAAAAAATCAGATGCATGATGGGAAGGTACATGCACAGTAGAGAAATGATTAGATGACCTAATCGATTGATCAAAACCAGGAGCAGGTCAAGCATGCTGGTGGCACATGCCGTTAATGCCAGCACTCAGGCAAGTGGATCTCCGAGTTCCAGCCTATCCTTGTCTAAATCCTGAGCTCTAGGCCAGCTAGGGCTACACAGCGTCGCCTTGTCTCAGAGAAAGAGTGTGCCTACCCCCACTATACTCCTTATAATCAAACCTAACTCCTCTGAACCCCCAAAATGGAAGCCCCAAACAATATTTGGGGCCTTTGCGTAGGGAAGCTGCTGATGGCTGTGAGAGTTAACGGCTTGTAGGCTTGTGGACTCTCTGCAGGCTGGCAGGGACAGGCCAGCAGCACTGTCTTCAGCTGTATTCAACACCCCAGGCCATTCCTGAGTGTTTGCTGAACACCACAGATGCTGAGAAGGACTGCTCAGCCGTCTACAGGACTGTCCCTTGTTATGTTAACAATATTTGCTGATCCCGAGTGACATGCTAGTCTCTGTACTAAATAATGGAGCAACACAGGTCACCGCGGCATGGTGTTGGTCCTCATGGGAAGTAGCTGAGAAACAGAGGCAGATACCAATGCCGTACTCAGGCCTGGTCCAGTGGGGGCTTTCTATAAATAACCACGGGCTACACTAGTATTACAAACAGTACGTCCACAAATTTTTTTTTCAGTGCTAGGGATCAAACTTAGGGCCTCAGGTATGTTTGGCAAGCACTACTATTGAGCTATGTCCCTGGCTCCTAAATCCCCCTTTATCAGTATTTTATAATAACACACAATCAACTGGGTTTAGAAACTATATTAGTCCTACCTTTAAAACGTGTTTTGGGTGTTGCGATAGCTTAATGAGGCAATTGCTACCCTACCACATAAGCATGATGAATTGAATTCCTGG